CTTCTCCGGGCAGCTCCGGATCATGGCAAAGCAGCACGCGCTTCACGCCGCACCCTGGTCGCCAATTCCGTCGGCGACATCGGCTACGGCTCGGCGTGGAGGTGCCAGTGCTTCGCGCGCGCAACTTCGAACGCAGTGGCGTGCGTGCCCACAGAAAGCAGCGGCCGTAGTCGTGGAACCTGAGGCCGCCGCCTGCTTGCACGAGTTCGATTCCGAGCTCGCGGGCAGCACCAGAAAAACCACCAGCCCGCTCCCTTCGCTTTTGCGCCCCGCCCGCAGCCGCGCCTCCCCTTGAGCACTTGCAAGCACGTTTGCGTTTGTGCCCCCCCTTGCCCTTGTCCACGCGCAAGTGCCGCTGCCGTCGAGCTGGAGTTGCAAATCAGGGGGTTGGAACGCTCTTGTGCGCCGCCGCGTCGCTGGTCATTGCGAACGGCTTGTCCAGTGTTGAAAAACGCAAAGCGCTCCACTCCTCCTCCGGCGCGCCGTGCCGAACAACCTATCCGCGGTCCCCGCAGCGCAAGCACAGGCGCGGAACAAACCCACAGCTGGAGGACACGTTGCGTGCACCCGTTACCAACCTACAAGGCCCAAAAAAGGACCCTACAAACAAACCTGCTTTGCCCGCTTTGGCGCGGGCACTTTTGCAGCTGCTGCGCCCAGGGATGGACGGCTGGCTCACCACGACGAAGTGCTCAGCAAACTGTGTGCTTAGCAGTCCCCTGGCTGAACCTTTTGTGCGGCGCATAGTTGGTGACTACAAGCTACGGATTTTCACTGAAAGCCTGTTCTGTTGCTGGGCGCCTGGCTCCGGCGCAGGGCCCTCTCTGATGTGTGTGGCCGCGTCCGGCACGATGCAGGCATAGCTTTCGCGACGCCAGTGCCACAGCCCCTTGTTACAGTCTTTTCCTCGCACAGGCCAGTTGCTGAGGCGCGACAATGCAATGCCCATGACGGTGTCGCCGCGCCAGAATCGCCCCCAGACGGTCACCCCCGCAGAACAAACGCTGTGCAGTCAGGTGGCCGTAGTCGAGACTGTGCCACTGGCACCCAAAAACCAACTGATGCAGCCAAAAGGACTCAGCCTCCCTCGAAACGCTGGGTGGTTAAGTTGATTCCTAGTTATCCTCTACAACAACCAGGGGTTCAAATCCAAATCTGCCCGGAGTTACAGGAAACACTTGGCTGAATGATGTCTTCGACGCAACAGATGGGCCGGCCGATGGCCGGCACCCAGCCGGATCAACGCTACAAGGCGCGCTTCAGGGCGGCCTTTGCTGCAGTTGAGCCGTGAACAGTGTTGAGCCGGAAGGCGCTCCGGTTCGCGCACCACGTCGCCAGAAGGGCTCGGACAGGAACAAATTTGGCCCGTACTGCGACGCATGGTTCCGCCATTCCAGGAGCAGTGCAAGCAAGAGTTTCTCGCTCGCTTTGACGGCTTTCTCCACGGGCAGTGGCAGGCGCTGGTCTGAGCGTCCGGCGCGTTCCCTCAAGGACAGCTGTCAGAAGAAGAAAAAGAATATGTTTTGACCCTTGTCACGGCGAGAACGCCGAGTTGTCCGTCTAGCACATTTGGGGGAACTGTCAGCAGCGCGCTAGGTGCTCATGGCTGATCCGTTGGCGCCGGGGGATGCGCCCTCCAAAGACTCACAGACCTGACGCATCGCCCGAGCCAGCAGTAGCGGCCCCGAGGGCCTGAGTGATTAAACCCCTAGTCGTACCATGGGGCTAGTGCCAAAGTGTTTCTGAGGAGCTGCGCCGGGGCTGAGGGGCCTTACAAGAGATGCTTCGGTTTGTCCTTGATGACGAACAATGAGCAGGCTTCCGACCTATGGTGGTGAGTGGGGGCGCGCTTGGCCCGTGCCGAAATCCCGGAAAAAGTCGTTGGGCATGCCGCAGTCCCAAGTTACTGTGTTTCAGGGCCATGTGCGCCTGAGCAAGCCGCGTGCGGGGGGGGGGGGTGGCCACTGTTATTCAGTATTAAGTAAGGAATGCAAGCACTGCCGAACAGCTTGGTCACGAGCACTGGCAAAGCCTGCTGTCAGGGCTGGAATAGGTCAAGTTGCTACCGGTCCCACTGAATGCTGACGTCGCTGGGCTCACTCCGGGTGGCGCACGCCCAGCTTTTGGAAACCCGGCGTTGTGTCACCGGCCTCTTGCGGCGCTGCGTCGCCTGGGCGCGGCAGCTCGGCAACATCACCTGGAGTAGCGGGCCCCGGGGATGCGTGCAGCGCAGCGATGCCTCGTGCCCCTCCATTTGGCTTTTGCAGCGCCGTAAGCCTTGCTTGCGCCATCGCCTGCAGCGCTTCCCCGGGCACCTCGGCACGGGCCACCAAAGTGGCGACCTTCGCAGAGGCGTCCAGAGAGGCCTGTGGCGCTGCTCAATCCGGCAGCTGTGCCGCGTCGCCGTGCGGAGTGCCGCGCCCACTTCCTCAGCCGACAAGGTCGTGGGAGCTTCCGGCAGGAAGACGTCCTCGGGATGTCCGTTGTTCCTTGAGGGTTCAATCGGTGAGCCAAGGTATGGATATCGTCTGTCAAACTTCGCCCGAAGCCCTGCCTAAATATTCCCGCAGCGGCTTGTTCAAATGAATCTTCGGCGCTGTGTGGGGCAGGTGGCAAAACCCGCACGCGCGCCGTGCCTCACAATTTTCCTTGGCCATGCGGATGCAAGGTCGGCGGAAAACATCTGGATGACCACGGCTCGCTCAGGGTCTGTGAGCAGGCGCAACGTCTGCTCATTGCCTGGAGCGAGCTCGGCGCGTGTGAGCACTTGCCTGGCGCGAGATAATTTGCCACGTGCGGACCAAGGCGCACGCCTGCTCGCGCCTCGCCTCGGCGCAGCCTCGCGGGGCGTCTGCCCTCCGCGACTGCCAGCCCGCGCGCGGTCTCCAGCAAGGGCAGCCAGCGGCCAGCCAAGAAATCGGCGACTCGTTTTGAGAGCACGTCGCGCCCGACGCGCCAGCAGCAAACGTGGGGCCAGGAAGACCGGTTTCCAGGCGCCAGGGCCTGCCTGAACGCGGTAGGAAGCGTGGGAGGCGTAGCCGCCGGCACCTGGACTGCGACTTCGTGCAGGAGGTCGACGCGGCCCAAGCTGCGCGTGGCACGCGGGAGCGCGCGGTGGCTGGAGGTCGCTCGTCCGGCCCGCGTTCTGGGTCCGAGTCCGCGCAAAAGCTGGGTGCGGCCCGCGGCGCCGGCTCGGACTTAGAAGCCGGGACGGCTCTGCGGCGCGGATGGCTGTGCTGTGGCCGGCAGGTAGCCGTCACGTGCGGAGCAGCGGGAGCAAGTCCTTTTTTTGCCGCGCTCGCCACCATGAGTCAACGAACTCGGCCGATCCGAAAGCGCTGCCGAGCATTTAACAAGGCCGCTGAGCGGCTTGTCAGCACGCCACACCCTGGTCTTGGACATGCGACCTTTTCCGCGAATGCACAGGTCATCCAGGAAAGCAGCGAGCCAGTAACTCCGCTTGTGCAGCCCGTAGCGTGTCATGCACCGCAAGCGCGAACAGAGTAGGAGTCAGGGCATCTCCTTGCTCACAGCCTTCTCTCTGGGATATTGCGTGGCATGCCCCTGCGTCGTCCCACCGCGCAGCGTACTTGCACGCCAGGGCGCGTACCACCCGCCGTCGCATCGCGTCACCGGCGGGCCAACGGTGGCAGGCTTTAGTCGCTGCCCTACGGGTGCAAACAGGCGGGTTACACGCCATGTTCGTCGCCGTTGCACAGGCGGCGATGAGTCATGTCGTCACTGCGTGGGCTGGGGACCTTGCCCTGGTTTGAGGAGCCCGAGGCCGGGGAGAGTTGCCAGGGCTTGCGGATTCACGCTTCACTTTGTCTACCCGTCGCGCCCTGGCCGTTGAGCAAGCGTGGGTGCGAGTTGCGCGCGAGGCTGTCGGCCCAGAGGGCCGCGTCGTGCCACAGCAGCGGCTGTCCCGGACCACTGCTGTCACCCGACGACCGTCGCCGGCGTGACTTGGTCGTCTGCGCGGCCACGGAGCGGGGAAGCCCGGTGCTGCGATGCCACGCTCGTCAGCCCTGTCCGCAGTGATGGCCGGCCACACGCCGGCGGATCGCGATGGCGTCGCGCTGTCCACAGCTGAGCGGCGGAAGCGTGCGCGGTACCCCGAGCTGGGCCAGCCTGGCCCGCAGCGCTTGGTCGTCCTCGCGGCTGAGGTCGGTGGCCGTTGGCAAGCTGCTGCCGCGGCCTTGCCCGGGTGCGCGCCAGGCGGCTCCACCCGGTGCGGCGGGTCGCTCGCGCCGGCTGGAGTCGGCGCTGGTGGTGCATTCCGGCCGTTGCGGCGCAACGCGCGGTTTGCAGCACCGTCCTGGCCCGCTGGATGTCGCCGCCTCTGCCTGCTGGAGGGGAAGGGCCGTTGCTCGCGTGTCGGCGGGGCGCCCTGCTCGTCGTTTCACGCAGGGCGTAGCCTTGAAGCGGCGCTACCCCGAGCTGCAATCAGCCGGGCTGCCATGTGAGGTAAAAGGGAAAAAATAGAACTGCAAGCCGCCAGACCTGCCCCCGGCTAAGAAAGAAGATAGAATTAACGGCTGCGAGCTTCGTCTGGGTTGTGTAAGTCAGGCTGCGTAAGCTAGGCTGCGTAAGTCAGGCTGCGCGAGTCAGACGGCGTAAGTCAGGCTGCGTAAGTCAGGCTGCGTCAGTGAGGCTGCGTAAGTCAGGACGCGTAAGTGAGGCTGCGTAAGTCAGGCTGCGTGAGTCAGGCTGCGTAAGTCAGGCTGCGTGAGTCAGGCTGCGTAGGTCAGGATGCGTAAGTCAGCTTGAATAAGTCCCGCTGCGTAAGCTAGGCTGCTTAAGTCAGGCTGTGTAGTCGGCAGCCGTTTTTGCCAAAGAATGCTTTTGGGAAAACAGCTTGCGAAGGTTCATCCGCCGCAAAACTGGCAACGCCTGTGGACGAAGTCTCTCAGGAAGCATCGAACGGCTCCGTTTGATAGCGTGCGGTTGGTGTGCCGTGCATGTGTGCATGTGTTGTGGTGCCTGGGCCCGCAAGAGTTTTGGCTGCAGCTTGTCCGATCTTTCGCTGCGCCGTAGCAGTCCTTGCACCACTTGGAATTGCCCTAAGCCATGGGAAGCATCGTTGCCCTGTCCTGAGTCGTTGCCCAAAACCAAGCCTGACAACATTCTCACTCCAGGTGAGCTGCTTCCTGCTGCTCAGCGGGCTGTGTGCCTTTGCCGATGGCAGTGCGTTGGGCTGTTTGGCGGAAATCTTCCCAGAGGACGTGGCGGGGGAGGTGGTGGTGGCGACAAGTTACCTTCTGCAACCCAATCTTCAATTGATTCGGCTTGCCAACTTTTCGATGGTTGCATGTATTCTCCAGTGTTTCATGTATGTTCCTATGTTGAGGCCATGGGATTGGGAGCTTTCTGAACGGAGATGGCCTCGAAAGAACCATCCGGGAGCCACAGGAGACCTGGGTGCAACTCGGGACCTTCGGTGACGCCTTCCGCATCGCCCATATGACCTGCGTGGCCCTGGGGCATAGCGCCGAGACCTGTCAGGAGGCCGGCCGCCGGCCGGCCGTGGCCGGCCCGCGCCTTGTAAGGAGTCGGGGTAAAACCCTGAAATAGGTCGCCCTGGTAAAAATGGGCCGTCCTGACCCACGCCCTCGGGGTGAAGATCGGAATGTGTTCCTCAGGACATGTGCAAATTCTGAAAGCTTTGTATTCAAGCCGGTGCCGGAAACGATGCAAGAATCCCGTGAAGTTTTCAAGAAAAAGAGCAACTCCCCTGGAAGACTGCCTGCGCCCGATTTTCCACTTCCATGATTGGAAAGAGTGTAAGTCCCACCGCTTTTCGGCCAGGTCACAGGGCAGCCTTTCGAGCGATTCAGCAAGCGCATGGCCGGCCCCATCCAAGTGGATGAGCGACTCTGCGGTGACCTCACTGCGGCGTTTGCCAAGGCCCGGTGAGGTTCCGCCTTTCCAAATTAATTGGATGGCTCGTCTTTGTTCGGGGATGCCCCAAAAATGGACTTCGGTTTTCCTTTTGGTTTCCCTTACAAAAACGGGGTGCTCTCAAACAAACAAACCCAAACCAGCAGGTTCCGAAGCGTGGCCACTGGACGACCCCAGCGATTTGCGATCTTTTCCGGCACCAACTTTCGGGGCTCACCACCTTGAATTCTTGCTTGAATGGGAGTGTCCGCCAGCCATGTTTGAGGGTGTTCCCACAAGTTTATTCTTCTTCTTTTTATTGAAGAACAAAGGCAGATCCACATTCACGTCCCAACCGCCTGGAAAAAAACCGGAAAAGTCAGGTGGTGTTCCGACACGGCCATCCGCGTGCGATTTGAGCTGTTGAAAAAAACACGGAGTCCTTGCCACAAAGGGACACCTGGAAAAGACAGTCTTTCTCAAAGAAGCGGAAGCGAAAGCAAAGGGACACCTAGAAAAACAAGTCAAAACTGGACTCTTTCATTTTTTTTAACCAAAACTTCTTGGTGCCTGGGGGGAGGTTTTTTCAGCTACGGAGTCAAGACTGCATACAAGCGGAACCCTGCACTTTGCCGAGTAGAGCATGACAGTATGGTCCTGAGTAGCCATCAGCCTGGACTAAAATGCCAAGGTCATATCGTCGGCCACAACGCTGCCGGTCGCGGTGGCCGACAAGATCCAGAGCTCCCAGCAACAAGTGGGAAGGTCCTTCCTGGAGAGGTCGGCTTTGGGGAGGGGGGAAAGAACGGAGGAGATCTAATGAAGGTTTCTGATCTTTTGCCCTGATCCTTGGATGATGGAAATCCACAGACGGGGTTGTGGAATATGATGTGAATAGGGTTGACTATTGGGGGCCGGCCCGCGCGTGTGGCCCTTGACAGCTGTAGGAATAGTTTAGTTTCAGATGGAAATGGCTAGTGACTGGCCCCTGCTAATCAAATCTGGGGACACTCCCTGTTAATGTACTTCGGGGATTATCGGGTTCCATGAAGTCCAGTTGGTTTATGAGATGATGTTTTATTTTAAGATCTGAACAGGAAGGGGTCACCACCTAGAGAAAGCACACTAGTTTTAGCTCAACATGACCGACTGGGCCTTGGTAGAGTGTACGATATTGATATGTGTACATGCATGAACAAACACATGGACAACAAGATGCACGACAAGCTAAGCAACCGAAGGCATGAGCACATGAACACGTACATGCATGTATGCATGCACACAAATGTGCAGAGATGCATCCAGCAATGCGCACATAGGCACGCAGTGTAGCGTTATGTAATGTAACGTAACTCATTGTGATGCAACGTCCCCTGTCAGGTTCCATGTTAATTGGTGGGAGGGCAGATGTCGTACGCAATGTATGCAATGTATGCAACGCAGCAATGCATGTAGTGTATGGTGCACGTATTGCACGTTATGTAAAGAAATGTTCCGCATTGTAATGCACATGTGCTGTAACGTGGGGTGATGTAAGGTTATATATGTGCGTATGCATGTGCATGTGTATACATACGTATGTGAGTACGTACGTATGTCCGTACGCTTTTTTTTTTTTGGTTTACGTGTGTGACATGACACTGCACTATAGAACATTTTGTTATATACCCACGCAGATACACACATGCATGAACACATGCATACACAATCGTGCCGCCAAACCCAATGCTTCCCCCTCAGAACACACCTGACACACAATTTGGCTTGCTGTTGGGAGCGTTTCAAACAGCGGGGCCTTTTGCTCAAGCCTCGTAAGGAATATGGGAATGACTCTTTCCACCATTGGTGGATCCTTGTCCTCTTGAATGAAGCATGCAAGCTTTTGGCGGTTGAAAGAACGCCGGCCATGAACCGAGAATTTGGGTCTTGTAATAAATACATAAATCAACACATTTCCTTTAGCATTCTCTTCCCCTAGAGTTGTATTCCACTAGTACCCTATTCCTTACCTAGGTTTGTATTCCTCTAGTATTCCCTTGGTGTACCTCTGGTATTCTCCAAGTGTTGCCCTAGTATTCTACCAGCAGCCCCTTTGTAATTCCCCTGGTATGCTGCATTCGCGCTCCAGTTTCTGAGTAGCAAAGAACTAGGGAATCAGCGAGGGGATACTAAAGGAATGCAAGGGGGCTGCAAGAGCAAATGCTAGGAGAATGCTACGGGAATACTGGGAGAATACTACGGGTAAGCCAAGACAATACAGGAGGAATGCTAGGGTGAACCGGGTTAGTAGGGGCATACTGGGAGAATACTAGGAGCATACCAAGAAGGGGATTCCAGGAGAATGCAAGTAGTAGGGGTAAGGTAATGCTAAAAGAATAGGGGAATGGTGGGGGGAATTCCAGGGGAATACCAAAAAAACACTGAGGGGACAATACGGGAAGTGCAACACCTCGGGAACCAAAAAAAAAACAGAAACAAAACAAAAGCAACAATCCCCGGAACAAAACCTTGGAGGTACTGGTCATTTCCCCCAGAGTTTTTTTCCTCGAGGTTCTTGTGTTCTTTTGTGGCCACACCTAGAAGATCCTTCCGGCAGACACTATTTTGGGAGAAGGCGCCTTTTTCCTCGTGACAGCGTGTTTTGCAAGTTCGCGATGAGGTACCTTAAGCACCGCTTAGCCCCTACTCTCTTGAACTTGGCCCACCCTGCCGAGCACTGCCTTCGTTTTGAAATTCAATATGGTGTTCCCTGCCGTTTGCTTGTTGGACTTCCCTTTCTTTCTTTCTTTCTTTCTTTCTTTATTTCTTTCTTTCTTTCTTTCTTTCTTTCTTTCTTTTCTTTCTTTCTTTCTTTCTTTCTGATCAACCCATGTCTTGCTTTGATGCCCTCATGGATGGGAAGTTTTGCGAGATCCTGAAAATTGCAGGTGGGCAAAGATATGCGCGGGCGCTAGCGTTTATTTTATTTCTGGGAATTCCTGGTGATGTGTTCGGCCTTCAGGATATGCCGGACGCTCTTGGCAACGCCTTCTTGTCCAATGTTCGGTTTTCGGGGCAGGAAACGGGCGGAATTCTCTGGGAAACGGGCGGAATTTTCCGGAAAAACGGGCGGAGTTCCCCAAGGTCGAAAAACAGTGGGTGTCCATCTCAAGGCTGAGACCATCCTTTCAGTTGCGCGTGACGGCTGTCTGGCTAAAAGGTGCCTGGCTGACCACAAACCGGCCATGGATCTGCAGCATGCCCGTCCAGCGCCGAGACGTACCGGACGGGCAAGAGAAACAATGTTCTAGACCTTTCCACAGCCTTGGCTGGTGAGAAGGGCTGGGTGGCAATGGTTTGGTGGTGTCGCCCTTTGAAGCGCGCGCCAAGTTAGGATAATTCCCAAACAAGTTTCCAGAGTACATGAGAATGGTGTACGAGTCTTTCACGTATTTCACAAACGCAGGCCCCATGGCGGTCCCTTCTGAAAAACTAATGGCCAAATACGCAAATACATACATAAATACGTAAGTAGACGTATACATAAATACAAGTATAAAAACAAAAATACAAATAGATAACCAAACACAAATAGATACATAAGCACATAAGTAAACAAACAAGCACATAAATAAACAAAAACATAAGTAAATAAGTAGATATCTAGATTAATTAAATAGATAAGCACAGGTTGTGCGCATCAATCAATTGAAGAACAGCCTGTGAAGACGAAGCAACGGCAGCGACTCAAAGAACCACCACCCCCCAAAGGACCCTCGGCAAGCCCAACCCGATTCGACAGGTCGAAGCGCTGCGTTTCAGCCGGCCTCGACTGCGAGGCGGCGGAGGCGTGGGGGGGTGTGCGGGGGGGGGGGGGGGCGACGGGGGCTTTTTGCGCGAGTTCGGGGTGAAGTGTTTGAAGCCCCCGTTTTGGTTAAAATAGTTTTTTTTTGGGGAAAGCGGGTGGTCCACTTCCATGATGGTTGGATAGAGGGTGAACCCCGTTTTGTTTGGGGAGGGCGGGACCTGGAAATAAAGTAAGGTCTCCAGTTGTGTTAGCTGTTGGCTCGCTGGGGAGCTTCTGTTGTTGTTGTTGTTGTTGTTGTTGTTGTTGTTGTTGTTGTTGTTGTTGTTGTTGTTGTTGTTGTTGTTGTTGTTGTTGTTGTTGTTGTTGTTGTTGCTGAATTCTCGCGACCTGCGGGCAAAACCCAGCTCACCCATGCAGAGGGTTCCTTGCTCATGGGTGAGCCAGGTTGATGAATGATGGTACTCTCTTGCAAGGTCGTGGCCGTTATGGGCCCTTAATGGCCCCAATGTACAGGCTTTATGCTTTTAGTGTTCCCTGAAAATTGAACCTGGGCAGGTGATTGCACCTGGGTGGGCCGCAAGAGACCTGGCCTTGGTTGAGGTTTGGTCCGGAGCGTTCCCTGGCCGTGTGCTTTGCCGTTGGTTTTTTTGACGTTCCTGACTGGTTTCCCCACCTGCTGCCGTTATATCTTGCCCGAGCGCCAGCCTTTTTTCATCCGTCAGCTTTTCGACGTTCCTGGTTCACAAGCGTCAGGGCGGGGGGAAACCTAAAAGGCCTTGTTTAGAGTTTGTGACTAGGCAGCGCTGGCGCTTGATTGTGGCGAACAGTGCCAGCTTTCGGTTCTTTCCTCTCTCAAGTTTGCATATCTTGTGAATCCATGGCACTTCCCTCCCCTTGGCGTGTCAGGGCTTCACAAAAGGCGGATCGCCGTGACAGGTGGGTTCGTCTTCCGCCCCTGCCGAAGCTGAGCAATGGTGCCCGGGCTTGCTCGGCATCTCGGACCTGGATTTCTTGGATTTCCGTGCCGGGATTTGCCGCTGTTGTCCAAGCTTACGACATTGTTTCTCTTTCGGACTGGACCAAAGACAGCAAGGTCGAGATTCGTGGTGTGAGCTTGGTTCCTTGTCACTGCTTTTGTTGCGGCGCTACTGAGCAAGGGAAGTTGGATAATTACTCTTTCTTGGCCAGAGGGTTGCTCAAGCACATGTGGCAGGTTCCTGCATTCGTGAAGGGAGGTACGCACCCATGGACCCAAGATGATCGTTTTCCATTGGAGAAACAATTCCGCAACACCTTCACACGCCAAATGTTACCAACCCTGCAACAGCTGGCAGTGGCTCAAAAAATCGGTGCCCAAAATGGAACCCTGGGAAGTGTTTCCCATGGACCAAAACCTGCGTTTTGCCACCTCCCGTGTAATTTTGAACCACAGCGCAAGAGGAAGCACGCAGCTTAAAGGCAAGAGAGTAAGCTTAGCGGCTTGGCGCTCACCAGTCCCCGCCCACAGGTTGCGCAGGTCAAACAAAAAGAAGGGTGTGTGGGTCCAAATTGCACCACCAGGAATTGGACCGCAGGTTTTGGTCCATGTTTCCACTTACCAGGGTTCCATTTTGGGCACATATGTTTGAGCCACAGCCATATTTTGTCATATGGGTAATGCCCGCCAATTGTTTATCCTTCTCGTCCGGGGGGGGGGGGCGCATCGCTTCAGAAAGCTCGTCCTGAGATTGGCTCCACCGCGAGGAGGGCTTTGGGCCCGAGGCCGGGAAGAAGGGTTTTTGGACGGTTTCTGGCCGAAAAGGAACCGGAAAGGAAGCACAGGGACCTTTGACAGGGGGGTTCACTGCAATGGAAGAACAGCACAACAAAAGCTGTGAAGCCTGCAGGAAAAACAGACCTTGGGTTGTTCCCTCCCCCCCCGTGAACGCTCATCAGACGCCCCTTTTTGTAAAGGACAAGTATGAGATGAATGAGTTCATCAAAAGGAGATGGCCACAAACACTTCCGGGTGAAAGGTGGCACACTTTCTACCCCCCCCCCCCCCCCATTTTGGAGGCAGATGCGGAAACGCCATCCATAGTTGAACAAAAACGCCCCACTTTCGCTTATCAAGGGCAGTGATCCGGGGTGACCCGAAGATGGCTCTAGCCTGCTTCGTATGGACCTTTGTAGCCATGTTGGCAGAACCAAATGTAGTGCGCTTATCGGCCTTCGAGCCGTGCCAGGGCTACCACGTGATTTGCCTGCAGCCGGCTGCACCGAGTGGGAGGGTTCCGCGCGGGAAGATCCCGGCGGCTGTGGCTGCAAGACATTGCCCTTGTCAGGGGGGAGGAGGCAAATATGCTACTGGGGGCTGGAAGACTACTTTCCTTTCGGGGAACCCCTTTGTCCATTTCCATGTTTGTTGGTGGGAGGGTAAGGCGAAAAGCTAAAACATGCCAAAACTGGAGGTGTTGGTGGTGGTGGTGGCAGCGCTGGTTGTGGTGGTGTGGCGGGCTCCTGTCGGCCGTTTGGTCATTTTGAAATACCTCACTGGTTGAGTTGCTAAGCTTTAAACGTTTTGTTGGCAGGTTTTTTCCTCGTTTTAGTCAAGACCCCAAAAGTTTGAACCTTTTTCTGGCCCATGTTGGTAGGAACCAATGGTCCAGGCCCCTGGAAGGGTGGCCATCAGACCTGAAGGGATGGATGCAAGTCGGCTTGCGACGGAACTTGCCGCTAAAAACATGTATACCCAAGTGACCGTCCATGAAAACCGGCCAGTCCTTTTGCACGTTCCTTCATCAGAAGTGTTTCAAGAGGGCAGCCCTGCTTTTCCTATGCGCTCGTCTCCGTGAGCTATGGCCCGGGGAGCCAGCCTCCCCTTCTCCCTCGCGTACTGGTTCATCGCCGCCGTCAACGGCCTGCCCGCCGCTCTGGGTCTCTGCTTCCCCTTCGGCATCCTCGGCGACTCCACGCCCCGGCCGTGGCCGCCGACGTCCAGGACCTGCTGGTCGTGCACTGCGCGCGCATGAGCTTCGGCCTGGCCCTCACCCTCGCCGCCGTCTTGGTCGCGTTGTGCCGGGAGGAGCTGCGGCTCCGCGCGAAGCTGCTGCTCCTCAGCTGCCTCGGCACGCTGGCCTACGCCACGGGAGAGCTGGTCTGGGACCGACAGGCGGCCGCACGGTTGCAGCTGGACCTCGACTCGGAGGCGCACCCGCGGGCGGTGCAGTTCCTCGTGGGCGCTCTCCATGGCAACACGCCCCACGTCATCGTGGGGGTCGCGGCCCTGTGTGCCGCGGTGGCGGCTCGGGAGTTGGTGCATGCAGGGAAGGAGCGGAAGCCCCACACCTCCTAGGGCACTCCTTCTTGGAGCTCTGGCGTGTGCCGACGTTCGACGATCCTAGAGAAAGACGCGCACACTTCATCGCGCAACAAAACAATCTGTCGTGTTGTTGTTTTTAGAGAAGAACATCGCTCATGGGTGAACACTGTGAGCGAGCCGGGTGGTCCCTTCATCTTCGCAGCATCATTTCAAAAGGGCGGCAGCCCTGCTTTTCCCATACAGGTTTCGACACGTTTTGGTTGTGTTAAATGGCCAACCCAGCTTTCCAATGCGAGGTTTCCACGCGTTTTTGTTGCTTCATTTTCCAGCAGCGTTTACAAAGGGCAACCCTGTTTCAGAAGGGCGGCAACCCCGGTTTTCCCATACAGGTTTCGACACGCTTCGGTTCCTTCATTTTCTCATCAGCTTTTCAAAAGGCCAACCCAACCCTGGTTTTCCCATACGGGTTTCTGTTTTGACGTTTCGGTCCCTTCATGTTTTCAGCAGCGTGTAGACAATTGCCAACCCGGATTTTCCCATATGGGTTTCGGTTTGGACACGTTTTGGTCCCTCCATTTTACCAGCGTTAACCCTGGTTTTCTCATACGGGTTTCGGTTTCGACATATTTTGGTCCCTTCATCTTACCAACAGCGTGTCAAAAGGCTTCCCCACACGGGTTTCGGTTTCGACACGTTTTGGTTCCTTCATCTTCCCAGCAGCGTGTCAAAAGGCCAACCCGAGTTTTCCCTTCCGGGTTTCGACGTGTTTTTTTTTGGGGGGGTCTCCCCTCCCAACATCCAGGTCCAGCCTCCACTTTAGTCCGTTGTCTTTCACGCAGCTTCCCCCTCTTCACCCCAAAGCAGACAACACACATCCATAGGCGCGTCCTTTTGAGGTTAGAACTAGATTTCACTGGTTTAGGTTTCAGGTCATTTACCCGGGCCATCTATTCTACCAAAAGGTCACCTCGCGCCCTCCACCGGCCACGCCGTCACCGAGAGGCCTGGGTCTTCCGCAACGCCTCGGGCCTCGGCGCCGAGCGCGCAGCGCTGCCTCGGCCATGGCGCAGCTTCCGCGCGGAGCTGCAGCGCCGCGCCAGGCTGCGGCCCAGCGGTAGGCGTGGGGCGGCAGATGTGTCGGTTGGGCTGAGGGGGGGAGGCGGGGTGGTTTAATATGAGGGGGTAAAGGGGGCTGGGATAGGTAGGGAATAGGTGAGGGGGGTATGGGTCAAAATAAAACCACCAGGATAGGGACCGCAGGTTTCAGTCTTTGGTTCCATTCGCCGGGGTTTGATTTTTACATATTTTGATCCACAGCCATGTGAAGTGAAGGGGGGGGTAGGGAATAACTTTCCGGGAGTTGGGAATGAACCGGTTTTGGGGATTCCAAAATACAGGAAGCCACAAGAGTTGGATGGTTATGGGGGTCATTCCAATTCTCATTCCTGCTGGGATTCAGCAAGGTGAGGGGGTGAGGGGGGAGGGGAGGCTGGCCAAAATTAGACTCTGGGCATGTCTTTTTTTGAGGGTACCCCTTTCTTGTAGTTTTTCAAGGGAAACAAAAAGGAAAACTACACTTTTGGCGGGGTCCCCTAAAACAACACACCCAGTTGAACGTACTTGTCAAGTTCAGCTAAGATCCGTTCGAGTCATGGTTGCTTTTTGCGATTCGAAGGGCTACTGTTCTGTTTCTTACTGGACGGTGGAAAAGGTTAAGGCTGTGTCTCCGAACGGGTGATGGAGTTCTAGACCAGCGGTTTTCTGCAATGCTTACTTTTTGAGTTGGCAGGCAGGCTTGTTGTTCGTGGTTTCATGATTTCCGCCAAGGCCAATACAGATCAGTCACTCTTCGCGGGAATGTCGATCCCTGAAGAAATGCGGCCCTCTTCCATTCCTTGAAGGAAGAGGGGAATCCCCACCAAAAAGGGGGACCCTGCCTTTTGGCAATTTTCCCGGTTGACACGACTTTCTCGGAGCTCTGGCCAGGGTTTTCGCACGCTTGTCCGCACAGGTGGGAGCTTCATCCGTGGCAACTCTTCGACATCCAGGGGAAGGCAGAAAGTGACCCATCCCAGGGAGAAGCTTGAGAATGCGGCTGCGGATGCCCAAAGCTTGGAACAAACATGTGGCACACAGCGGTGTTCGCAGTTTGAAAGCTGCTTTCAAAGAGGCTTTGCTTGAGGTTGGTACTTGATTGTGGGCAAGCGGGTGTGACGGTGAGCGTTCCCGACTAGAATCTGAAAGCTCGGGGGGTCGCGGTAGGGGTCCATGTCTTTTTCAGGGTATGTACTCTCATTTGGTTGTTTAAACGGGTTTCAAAAGGGTCCCCTAAAACAGACACGCTTGTTGCCATTTCGGTGTTCCTGGTCCCAGGCTTTCGGTCAGTCCTCTCCCAAATCTCAATCAAAATGAGAAGCCCAACCAAAAAGCCATGTCCCCAAAAGCCACCCACAGGGACCTAAACCCGAATCAACGGAAGCCGCGCCGGCGGTTCATGCGGTTTGTCGCGTTCCGGTCAAACCGGCGGTTCGCGGGGTTTGTTTTTGTGGCAGGTGGTGGAAGACATGCGGGGCGCCTTGGGTGCTTCGCTGCTGCTGGCATTCGAGGGAGGACGGGGTGCGGGACAACCTGGAGGGCTGAGAAGGCATGGCCTGAGGCCTGTGACTTCTGGGCGCGGAAGTGCATCAACCCCTTTCAATAAAAAAACCTCGGATGGGATGCTTATATAAGGTGCAAACACTCCTTTCCTTGTTGTTTCAATCTCAGATCCAGGCAAATGGCCATCGCCCGAGCCTCACCTGCAAGGCCCTAGTTTTCAACAAAGTGTCAACACCGGCAGCCGGTGCGCGCTGCAAGCGACAGGTTTTTTGTTTTCTCTTTCCTCTATTTTTTTTTATGGTTCTCAGCCCGAGTTCCCAGCTGGTCTCTCCTGCCAAGCCCGGCGCTTGTATTTTTTTCCCTCCGGTGTGGGCTTCTTGGGTGTTAGTGGAGGGGGAAGGGGAACACCACTCCCCGCAGCTTCCCCAGAATTAGTTCCCCCCCCTTTTTTTTCTTCTGCTTTTTTTGGGGTTCCATTGTTTTCCACCAACCAGGCCAAAAAAAGTCTATGGTTTTGCGGCTGGGACCCTAGTTCCAGCCAAGCCAAGCAGCTGGGGTTGACTGGAGGAGAGTTCCAATACCCGGCGGTGCACCTGGGCTTCCGCCGTGAGGCGCTTCGGGTTGGTCGGCTTCGAGCGGCTTCCGAGCGGTTCGGAGGGGGGTTCGGAGGGGGGTTCGGAGGGGGCAGCCGTCGGGGCGGTCTTTTTTTTCTGGGCTGGAAATGGCGGCGGCTGCGTCTCATTTGGAGCAAGAAGGGCTTTTTCTGCAAGGACAAAGGGGGGGAAAACAGCCGCAGTTTCCTTCGCGCAGTGGGGCATGCTGTGCGCATTCTCCTTGGCAGGTGGGCCTGGGAAGGGCTGTGACCCTGACAACGGTGGCCCTGCGGCCGGTGGCCTTCCTCGTGCAGGGCGCCCTGAGCCGGAAGGCGACGTGCGGACGTGCGGCGCGGGGCAGGATGTTGCAGTAACCTCAAAACCCAACCCCAGAATCCCCCCCCCCCTCCCCCAGCTTGCGTGCTCACTTGTTGCGTGGGCAAAGTCTATGTCTTTGTTTGCGTCGGCTTCTTCATCGGTTCAGACCAGGCTTGGAAAGTTCGAACTTCTTCGGTTAATTAGTCACCTCAGCAGGTCAGTGTGGGCCTCCTTTAAGTGTGACCGGGTTCAACATGCTCTTCCACTCTCTCCCAGAGCCTGGCCCAGGATAAGAGCCACAAGCGCAACTCGGGTAAGTGAAGTGTTTGGATTCGCTGCCAGGTGTATCTGTTTTTTTGAGGGTACCGTTGGTTCAAAGGGAACCTGGTTCAAAGGGAAACCAACCGGAACACCAACATCGTGGCCTCGGATGGTTTTGCGCGTGCTCCTTTCATGCCAGCTGTTGTTTCTTACTCATGCGAGCTTTCCTGAATGAATGGACTGCCGAGCTTGGCAATTTCCGCGCAACACCCGGCTTCATGCGCGGCATCGAGGCGAGGAAGGGCAAAATGAGGCCGAACCAGGCGAGCCACGGCTGAGCCATGGCTTGCGAATTTAGGGGCCCAACATGGTGGATCTCATTTTGGTGGGGATTCATGTCCTCCACCTGCGAGGTTCCCTATTCAACTCACAGCCACGTGCCTGGTTGTTTTAGCCAATTAGAATGTGGTTGTGAATTGCTTTGAAACCAAATCGAGTCATAAGATCATAAGAGCAATATTACGATTACTAGCAACAAAGCCCCTCATCTTCCAGGGTTTTAGGAATGTACCTGGGTCTTGAAAGAACCCAGAAGGGATTTCCTTGTGGTTTGTAGGAGTCATTAGAAGAAGAGGACTTGTCTAAGTCAAGGCTGGTACCGGGAGCCAAGTCGGAGAGCTGTCGGACAGTCAGGAGGCCCGAACCTTGCAGAAGCTGGCGCGGCCGAGGCTGAACCAAAGCGCCTCAGCACTGAAGAGAGTGTGCGCCAAGAGTGTTTTTTTGTTTTAGTTTTCTTTTTTGTTTTTTTGGCATTTGCTTGATGATTGACCCGGTAGTCTCGTCTTTTTGTTTTGTTTTTGCCGTACTTTCTTGAAAGCAACGAAAGCACGTGTTTTGGTTTTCGGGTACCCTCCCACCAACTAGCATCACCACACCAGAGGATCGGTCCTATTTATAGGATTGTTTTCTTTCAGGACCCCACCCCCGAATCAGGTTCCATGTCATGAGGGTGGTAGGAGTTTTTTTTTTATGCCCCCCCAAACAACATGTTGTTCTCCTCTCGTTTCCAAAAAAGAGAAGAAACTAACCCCAAAAAGCCCGAGCTCACGGGGCCTGGGCCCACGCTGTTCGAGCGGCAAATCGTCGGGTTCCGGGGGTGCTGGATCACCCCTTTGTTTGCAACTGATCAAGCAGGTACGATGTGTTTTTTTTCTTTTCTTTTCGTTTCTCCTCTTCTTTTTTTTTGGGGGGGGGCACCAGCAAAAGATAGCCCTGACACAAATGAAGAAAGAAGCCAAGTTTGCCATGTTCATCACTGGTACGGTTGGTTCCACCACTTTTTTGCAAGCAGGGAGAAAGCAACACACACACACACATGCACACAATCACGCACATACACACAACACATACAACACACACCACGCCACAGACAACAGACACACGCACACGCAATACACACCACACCGCACCACACCGCACCACACAACGCAACGCAACGCAACGCAACGCGACCCGACGACACGACACGACACGACACGACACGACACGACACGACGCGACGCGACGCGACGCCACGCCACGCCACGCCACGCCACGCCACGCCCGCCGCCGCCCGCACGCCCGCCCGCCCGCACGCACGCACGCACGCACGCACGCACGCACGTACGCACGCACGCACATGCGCACACACGCACATGCACATGCGCACACGCACACCCACACGAAGGACGCCTGGACCTGAATCCACAAATGTGGGTTCCTTTTGGTTTCACCAGCCTTTCTTCGAAACATGCCAAAGAACCCAAAAGACGGACGCGCCGATTTGTCAGGCCAAGTGCTACAGCTGGACCCTGTCGCCGGAGCTGCGCAGCGGGACCCGCGCACGAGCTCCTCCACGTTTCTGCCAGAGGCGTGCGTGTGCGGGGGGGTGTTTTGCTCGTCCAAGGTGAGCCAGTACATGTCTTCTTAATTTTCTTAAGAACCAGACATGTGTGGGACCTGGGGACGGGATTGACAAGGAAGAGGCGGAAGCTCGGCAAAGCGGGGGGGGGGGGGGGTGGGCAAGAGAGTTTGTCCAGGAGGATGTGGTGGTAGACGTGCTGAACCGCTCGCGGCACTTGCTGCGTGTGCTGGGCCGTCAGGAGGGTGTGCAGGTTGTCAGGCCGGATTGATGGGCTTGGGAGCCCCCTCCCAAAGGTTGTATGTAACTGCAACAAGGTCCCCCACCGTTTACGGTTCCCCTACTAAAATAGACTACAGAAAAAATCGGGTACCCTTATTCTCACCTCTCTACTGGAGGACGTAGACAACCGCCACGAGAAGAGGGTCGCAAAAAAAAGAAAAAACACCACAAGAAGACAGGGTCTCTTCGAGTCGATCTTGGTGCTTCATGGAGGGGTCAATCCTCGATTGTTGGTTGAAAGGTTGGTTGGTTGGTTGGTTGGTTGGTTTGGTTTGGTTTGGTTTGGTTTGGTTTGGTTTGGTTTGGTTGGGTGGGTGGGTGGTTGGTTGGTTGGTTGGTTGGTTGGGTGGGTGGGTGGGTGGGTGGGTGGTTGGTTGGTTGGGTGGGTGGGTGGGTGGTTGGTTGGTTGGGTGGGTGGGTGGGTGGGCGTGGGTGGGTGGTTGGTTGGTTGGTTGGTTGGTTGGGTGGGTGGGTGGGTGGTTGGTTGGTTGGTTGGGTGGGTGGGTGGGTGGTTGGTTGGTTGGTTGGTTGGGTGGGTGGGTGGGTGGGTGGGTGGGTTGGTGGGTGGGTGGTTGGTTGGTTGGGTGGGTGGGTGGGTGGTTGGTTGGTTGGGTGGGTGGGTGGGTGGGCGTGGGTGGGTGGTTGGTTGGTTGGTTGGTTGGTTGGGTGGGTGGGTGGGTGGGTGGGTGGGTGGTTGGTTGGTTGGTTGGTTGGTTGGTTGGGTGGGTGGGTGGGTGGTTGGTTGGTTGGTTGGGTGGGTGGGTGGGGTGTTGGTTGGTTGGTTGGTCGGTTGGTTGGGTGGGTGGGTGGGTGGTTGGCTGGTTGGTTGGTTGGTTGGGTGGGTGGGTGGGTGGTTGGTTGGTTGGTTAGTTGGTTGGTTGGTTGTTTACCTGTCTGTCTTTATGCATGTCTGCGCAAAACCTCAGAATGAGACACCATGACAGGAAAGCCATGCTTCTGCGGCTTGTCCGTCTCCATAAAGATTGGCATCCTCAAGATCAACCTCAAAATTGCTTGAACGAGATCCCCCAATATTTATTTCGAGAACCCGCAACGTATCTCACTTCCTGCGAGAATTTGACTTTATGCGTACTTTGTGGGTTGGACAGTTTTAGTGGCATACGCACAGTTTGGATACTTGGGGGCCGGAACTAAGTAACTGCCAGCTCAGGTTAGAAAGGGGCCCCAGGCGTCTGATGCGTGCGTGCGCATCTTGAGGGCCAAACAACAAAACAACAACAACAGCCCAACAACCCAGTAGCCCAACAGCCCAAGAACAGCCTAACCCAACCGCTTCTTGAAATTGCCGCCGGGGGATTCAAAGGGAACCCGCCCATTCTAGTTGGTGGCCAACGTGACTAAAGCGAGCAGGCACCTGGACAAGCCGGGGTTGGCTACTTCGCCTCGGGGGTAGTTGGTGGTTTTTTGTCGCTGAAGCGACCAGACCCCATAAGCTCTCATCCATTGGGCTTGCTTCGGCTTCTCTGCTTCAACCAGAGGTATCGGAAGGGCCAGCGCTACGCTGCCCACTGGGACTACTTCGACCCCAAACTCTTCCGGAAGCAGAAGGACGTGGCGGGCAGGCTGACGCACAGGCACGGTTGGGGTTGGGGGGGGGGGTTCGGGTGCTGCAAAGGGATGTTTGGTTCTGCTTGGCTCTGAGTGGAAACCTTTCATTCAATTCCCCGCTTGATAGGTAGTGAACAGACACAGTGAACAGATACAGGGTTAGTCCATTGGCCGCAAGATGATCAAACCCAGGTGGAGATCGGTCAAGGATTCTCTTTGGATTGCCTTCGCCAGAAAAAGCAATGTGACCAAGGCTGTTTCAATAGTTCAAGAAGTTTCCACTGGGATGCAGTCTTTACAACCCTCTTCGGTTTGCAGAAGCACCTCAGCAGTTTTGACGATCATAGTCCCTACGACCATCATAGGGCTACATCCCAATAGCCCAACAGGGAGTTTTTTTTCTTCTTGTTCTTCCCCCCCGGGCCTAGCAGGTTCTTCCTTTCTTGGCCGTTTTTGGGGAGGGGCGGACCCCGGGGGCGGCACTAAGGGTTTCTTTCGAACCCGATGAGCGCCCCCTCTCTGGCCGCGAAGGGTTCTGCTAGGGTGACAGTGCCCGCTGGCTGGGTTTGTTTCGGCTCCGGTTTGTGTTGGGTTCAGGCCGCGCGTCCGGGGACAGCTGTGGCAGCCTCTCTTGTATTTTTTTTTTCTCTGCCCCCCCCCCCCCCGGTGTGTGTGTGTGTGGGTTGGTGTCTGCTTTGCTGCTCCTCTCTTTCCTTTTCCCTCTCTTCGTTCTCTCTTTCCTCTCCTCTTTTCTTCTTTGGCACCCCTCTCTTTCTTCCTCTTTTGGCGGTGTCTTGCTGGGTTGTGGGCCCGGGTGTGACCCCGAGTTCCCTTCTTTCTCTTTGCCCCCCCCAGCGCGCTGGCCGGTGCTGTGCGTGTGATCGCACTCTTGGGTGTTTACTGCTGGTGTGAGCCGGCAGCGGGCCCCTGTGGGTGTGACTCCGCAGGCTTCCGTCTTCTTGCGTGTGTCGCCGGTGTGATCCGGCTGCCCCCGTACGTCATCCTGCCCGCAGGACTCATGGACCTGTGCGCGGAAGGTGCTTTGCTGGAGGGCAGCGGTGCGTCGAGCGTTGCGTCTGCCAGGGAGGTGGACCGCTTGGACCTCCAAGTTGGCACAATGGAGCAGCTCCCTCGCTTCTCTGGCACGTCTGGGTGACTGCGTGTCTTGGAAGGGGTCAGCCACCTTGCTTTTTGTGTCGCGCCGACGTTTGGAGGGGTTTCTTTCCTTTTCTGTTGTTGTTTGTTTTTGTTCTTCCTCGCCATCGTGCAACTCGGCCGCATGGGCACCCAGAAGCCGGCGGTGAGGCCTGCTATGACGTTTGCGGAGCAGTGCCGTTGACCCGACAGTGGAGCGACTGCTCGGACCGCAGAGAAGTTTACTTCTCTGTAGGTCGCTCTCCAATCCAATCCGATCCAATCCAATCCAATCTTCTTTTTCTTTTTTTGAGGATCCTATGATCACCACCCCCGGGAGGAAAAATCCTATCACCACTCCATTCTCGCCACACTCAGGCGAGGGGCGATCAGGCACGTCAGGTAAGTGGTTGGTACGCCTGGTCACTCACTGAACCTAAAGCCATGGCCAGAAGGTTATTGCACCAGGCTTCACCACTTCCCTTGTACCGAATCTTTCGCCCCTTGCACGGATGAAACGGATGGAACGGCAGGCGGAACCGCCTGGCCACACTGCTCTTCTACCTCTCGAACACTTCCAAGGGCGGCGCCACGGCCTTTCCCATGGCCTACGGCGCCTCCAGCGCCTCGAAATTTTTGGCGGCCATGGGGGGGTGGAAAGGAAAGAAACGCCGGCCTGGCACCGCATGTCTTTGGCAGACGGATGCTTGGAAAGAAAAACGGATTCTTCAAATTACGATTAATGTACATGTTTTTTGTATATATTTATATATATATATATATAGAAGTATTTTGTAGTTTCTGAATTCAACTTTGCCTTTACAATCCCACGAAACATGGGGGGGGGTTCTGTGCACTAGCCGAGGACCCCTGGACCCTGAGGATTGCGAGCCGTGGCTGCAGGTGCCTGCAAGCAAAGGCCAGGGTCTCCAAGCGAAGCGCCGGAGTTGTTGGCACAGCTTGACCCGTCTTTAGTTGCACTCGCAAAAATGCAGGCTGAGTCTGAGCAGGTGTCTATTTTCACATATATATATATATATATGTATATATCTACATATACATATTCATTATATGATTTGCTTATGTGCATCTTATGTCACCCCTTCCTGACATCAAACGCCACTCCCCCCAACGATTTGGATGCTTTAGGGTTTTCCTCAATCTGTCGCATTTTTCCATGTCAGGTTTATGAGAAGCAACACAGGTTCGGCGCGGGGGGGGAGGGACGAAACGAGGGTTGCCCCGAGTCTCGAAAACACCTGCCTCGACCAACAAAAACAACGGACCATGAGATGGAAAGATGGTTTTCAAGCGCTGCGCAAATTGACAAGCACAGCCAACATGGCCATGGCTCCTGTGCGGGAGTCGCTGTGGCAGTTGCTTTCTGAACCTCTTTTTGAGTCAGTTCTGCAAAATTGGAAGCGTGAACAACCTACATCAAATTAAAACCGTTTCGCCATCAGAGACTCGTTTGGCTGCGGCATATCTTTCCCCCACCTCCGGTCCCTCCCCCAAACCTAAGCCGCGCTCACAGCTGCGATTAAAAAAACACACAAACACCACATATGTTTTGATTATTATTGGTGGATAGGTTGGGTTCGGCTCTCCTTTGGTGGATAGTTGGGTCGGGTAAGCTGGCTTTACATGGGCACTTCACCAGGCCTTGGGTCCACAGGATGGGCTTAGGAAGCCGACAAATCGCAATTTCTTTTGGGGGCTTGACCTTTGACGTGCAAATGAACATCCATGTTGGGCCCCTCAGCTCGGCGTCTGCAGCTCGGTCCCCAGGTACGTCTCCTACTTCTCCCTCCGGCTTGTTGATTTTGGCTGCAATGGATTTCTGCTAACCCGCAGGAACAGGACTGCTTTTCTACAACTTGCATGCGGACGGCCGCCCTGATGTGTCTTCCAACCACGCGGGCTGCAAGGTGGAGGACGGGACAAAAAGCGATGACAAGACGGGTTTGATCATGGCCTTCAGCCACGCTTGTGGGGAGTCGTTGGTTCTAGGTTGCCACGGATCTTCAGACTTTAACTTTTTGGAAAATCAAGGGGCTTTCCATTAAACCCACAAAAAGTTAAACTTTCTGCGGAGGGGTCAACACAACCAAGTTTCTGTGAAACCGAAGGGATCTTCCTGAAAGCAACTAAGTTGTCATGGGAAACAACCACTTTGGTAGTACAGATTGCTATGCATTTCCACGAAGCTGTCTGCAGAGCATTTGAAGTGGGGTGGGGGAGCAGATTGTCACGTTTGGCAAGCCGACCCTCTTGTCCTCCTAAGGCGCAGTCTAGACTTGAAGGAATGCTGGCATGAGCCGTGATGTCAGGAGAGCCCCTCATGCCACCCCCCAGGCAGAATCAGACCGCCGGCCGCAGGGGCCTTTGGCTTTGGTCTTTCCTTAGCCGGTGTTTTTTTTCCCCCCTCCTGGCTGAGAGGATGGCGAGAAGTGGGCGGCCAACATTTGGGCATGGAATTCGAAGATCCAGGAGGTGCTTGACCCTGATTTCGATGATGAGCTCTAAGCAGCCGAGGGGTGTGTCACAACTACGGGCTTCCACTTTCAAGGAAACTGCCATGACACCTTGAGGAGGTCTGTAAGTTTGGCGCGGATCCCGGCAGTGTAGAGTGCGGGCTGCTTCCCAAGTCTGAAGCAGGTAGTGCTCGTGCAGCTGCGAGGGGATGTTGCTTCAATGGGTGCTGAAGCCTCCTTTCGCAGCTGGTGGAGCTTTTTGGGGCTTACAAAGTGTGCACCGCCTACCTTGTGCAATCTCAATGTCTGTCGAGAGCCGTTTCACAATTTTGCTGTGATTTTCAGTAGGGAGCCATTTCCAAAGTGGTGGGTGGACATGCATCCCCACTTAAATGATCCAAAGGGGTTCCATGAAAATTCACGCATTTGGCAGATGGGGTTACTCCAGGCCTTCACAGCGGAAATCCCCAACTGATGTCCACCAAGGGTCCCCCTGATCATCCAATCCGTTGGCTGTGGGTCAAAACCCATGGTACCATTTTGGGGTAGGTGAATTCACCACCCATTTTGGGTTTCCTAGAGAAAAGTGGTTGGATTGAATCGGATGTTCGCTGGGGGTACGGAATTTTGAATTTTGCCCCATGGCCAAATGGCAAGCGAGGGTTTTTTATGGCCAGCTCCCCTTTCCTAATGAATTGCCCAGCCCCAGTTGTGTATTAAGAAGGGGGGTTGCTTCAAGAAAGGACTCGGATGGGGTTAGTCAATCCTCGAACACACCCAACCTGAAACGGCAAAAAGCGCGGTGCCACGAGAGCCAGGCATCTCGGTTCGGGAGGTCGGTCCGGGCCCCAAAAAGGTCGGGACTTGGAATGGGGCCGGGGGACCCAATCATGAAACCGTGTGCATTGCACACCCATGCTATGTGTATATGTATATATATATATACATATATGTACACACAGGTGGCCCCTTCAAGTGTGGATAGTTACCTTTCTTCCCCCATTCAGGATCAAAGGGGGGTTATCTTGGGCCATCTTTTCCGAGAGCTCTTCTTGGGCGGTGTGGTTTCAGGGGTCAATCGGAGTCTCGGACTTGCCTCCCGAAAGGCGCCCAGGAAAAAGCGGCCCGCGCCCCGCCGAAAAACCGCCGGAAAAACCGCGCCAGAAGCGCGCGCTTGCGACCGGGGGTGGAGAGGGGGAAGTGGGTGGATATGGGTGTGTGGCGTTTTTTTTTTTTTTTTTTTTTTTTTTTCAGGGGCTCTTGAGGCGTCTGTTCAAGGGCAACCAAGGGGAATGAATCCACCGGTTAGGGAGGTTCCTCCAGTTAAGGGCAAACTCATGGAACTTCATCGGTGACCAATTGGACGGTCCTCTGACTCATCCTCTTTTAAGAAACCAAAGTGGGGGGGTGTTGAGAGCCCGGTTCCATGTTGCCACGCGGACAGGAGGGGGCTGCGCTTCCCACGATGCCTGACAGAACCGAGATTCGGGGTGGGGGCGGGGGGGGGGAGGGCCCAAAAAGCTCGATGCGCAAGACTAAATGCTTACCTAGAACACCTCTCCCCCACCCCACCCAGGGGCTCGATTCCCCCCTGTGCCGCCCCCGGCACTCACGTATTCCCTATCTCGTCCACATGTTTGCATCTGGGGGACCTGTCTTTCTAGATTCCTTCTTTCCTTCTTTCCTCCTTTCCTTTTTTCCTCCTTTCCTCCTTTCCTTCTTTCCTCCTTTCCTCCTTTCCTTCTTTCCTTCTTTTCTTCTTTCCTTCTTTCCTAATATGCTAGCAACTCCTGAGTCGTACATGTCGTCGTTGGGCTGGCTAGGCTAGCTTTCGTTCACCCGCCTCTCAAGTAGGACATGCCCATGGCGTGACGGCTTGAGCGATGGGCATCTTGCCCCCCTTCTACACGGCGCGCTACGTGGAAATCCACAGCTCTACCTTGAGCTGCCTCTGGCTGTGCCTCGGACCTGCCTCGGACGCACAATCCAAAAAAAGAAGAAGAAACAAAGAACAAAGAACAGCAATCACATATGAAGCAAGCACCCATCGAACACTTGCACCATTTGTTTTGAGGATTCAAGAGGAGTGGTTTTTGCCGCGAGTCTTTTTTTGGGACCACGCGCCCTTTTTCATCCATTCCCTGGCTGATTCGGATCTCCGGATCACTGGGGAAGGACGCATCCTAAGGAGGGGGGTAAGGAAAGGTAGACCTGGAGCCCAGGCTGAGATAAGAGGTCAGCAACCGGATGGGTACAGGGTTTCTTTGGGGAGGAGGGTGAGCCAATCCATAAGAAGAACGAGAACACACACACACACACAGACTGTGCAAGCATGCTGCGACCCCATCTTTGTGAGGGTGTGCTTAGCATTGCCTTTGCCTAAGCAAGTAATTAAGACACAACCATGTAACCCGCAACTAACCGCAAGTGATGAACATGCTAATTACTTGCGGGTTACACAAGCATGTTTCATCAACCCACAACGCTGTAACGCCACCTACTTGCCAAAGGCATCGTTTCGGCGCCAGGCCGAAACGGAGAAGCTCCAAATGGAAGAGACGCGAAACGTAAACCACATGGTTGAAACGCCCGGCTAATCTCAGTGAACATCCCAATCCCCACTAAAATAGGTTCTCCAACCACCCAAAATGGGATCCCAAAACGGTTTGACAACCATGGCCCATGGCCAAATCAAACCAATCCGCAAAAGAAACCCGAAGCCGGACTCGTTCTTTGAAGGCTGGGAGGCGCGGGGGTGGTGTTGTGGACGCTGCTGGTGTCGCTGCTGGGGCACCACTCCTACGTGGAGCGGCATGCGCCCACGGTGGATGTGGCCTTCTGGCAGGTCGGGAGATGGGTCTTCAGCTGGGTATGGGTCAAACATTTTCCTCTTCCCGTATACGCCCAGCTAAAGGGGCGGGTACCAAATCAACAAACGACAGACCCATTTGGGTATCAGCCAAGATTAAACCACCAGGATTTGGACCGCGGGTTTCCGTCCATGGCAACCCATTTACCAGGGCAACCCATTTTGGGTACCCACAGCCAGCTGGCTTGGGCAAACTCACCCACTAGCCTCCTTCAGGGGCTTGAACGTGGTTAAACGAGGCTGTGGTTTCAAGCCTGAAGCCGGCCAGGGTCTGGGCGCTCTTTTTTTGGGAGGTGATCACCCGGAAAGCCAGCTCCATTTGCGGGCCTATTATTCTCTATTATTGGGTTTCATCTATGCCCAGCGGCGTGGGATTTTTCGTCTTTTGACACAAGGTGACCCTCGTAATTACGTCTTTTGACTTCCGGCCCTCGCCGCCGGACAAATTTTCTGCCCTGGAGCCCTCGGCTCCTCGCGCAGGACGCCTCGGTGGACGGGACCTGGTGGCCCCAACTCACCACGCCCTCCGAGTACTGCGGCATGAGCTTCGCGGCGCGGCGGCGCGGCGAAACCGGTCTGACCGAGAAGCGGCGGGTAAGGACGAAACCTGTAAGCGGTGTGTGCCCAAAACGGGCTCAGATAAATTCAGGGTCCAGGGTCCAGTGGTTGCAGTTTTTTTGGGGGTTCTCAAGATGACTTGTGGGGGTGGCTCCCAATTTTGAGCCACCATTTGTAGGGGAGTTGTGAAGACGTCACCAAGAGTTGCTAAACTTCTTCTCCAGGCTTAGTTGGTTTAAACAATATCATTCAAGTTTTTGGGCCCCTTAACAAAAACGATGTTTTGCTCCTTGCGAGCTTGTTTAGCAAGCATTTGCTTGCCATGTTGCTTTTGCTTGTGCCTGCGGGTGGCGGTATGGTGCGGGTTTTGGCGGTTCACCGTTGCATTTTGCAGTTGACCTGTTACACGCCTGTGGGGGGCACCTGCGCAGAGGACTGCTTGAAGGCAAGGCTGGGTTGGCCCTTTTGAGCAGGGCAGCTTTCGGTCCCCCCCCCCCCCTGTCTGATTTTGGGACAGCCACTTTGGCTGAAACTGAAGGGCCCCAAGGCCAAAGGGTCAAAAAGGCTTCGAACATCTCTTACAACTCTTACAAATTGGCCCGGTTGTTCGAGGGTTCGTTTTAAAATCTCGGTCACACATACATGCTCTCCCCCAATATTTGTGCGGCCCGAAAGGCAGACATCTCGCGAGGTATGGTGGGGACATGACGTGGGGCAGCCACAGCATCAACTGCACCCGGCCAGAGGATGAGCTCAGCCAGGCCCCGAGCCCCGAGGGAGGAGTGGAGCAGAGTTGGTCCCACATGGGCATGGTTTCTCGTCTCCCTCGGAACTGCCCAAGATGAATGCATTCTGCAAAACCCTGGCTCCCCACCCGCTGTTTTTTCGCGTGGCCTTCCGAGTTGTCCAATTTGACGAGATGCAGAAGGGCCCAATTGAATAGTTTAAATGGGTGGTGAGGCGGTGAGGCACTATCAAACCAAATTACGTCCTGATCATAGGACACAGATGTGTGCGCTTAAATTAGCCTCTTGCATTCCCCCCCTCTCTCCCACTTCCCCCCACATTGTGATGGCTTGGGGTTTGCCTGCGGGTAAATGCACAACTTGAGAGAAGCTGATGTCAGGGCCCAGCTCAAAAGGACCCGACCCTCGAGACCCGACCCGTCGGCTCCAGGTGTTCTACGCCAGTTCCAATGAGGTGAAAGTGGCGCTGTCGATCGCGGAGGGCTCGAACCCCCAGTACAACACCAGCCAGGTGAGCCTCTACGAAGGCTCGGGCTGGGAGGCTTGCGCGGGGAGATGGGGAGGAGTGGTTTGAGTTTCTTGTTGGGAAGCCCTTGCCCGGGCGTCCCTAAAGAGTTTTGGCAAGACAGGTTCTGTTTGTGCCGTTTCCTGCGCGTGGGTCACTGTACCCCAAGCGCGGAACCTGTATTTTCCCCAAGATTCGCTGTTCCATGACAGCATTGTTTTCAGACTTAGTTACTGTAGAGTCATGCATCAACCTTCCAATTATTGGCGCGAAGCTCTGAAGTTCTGAAGTGGACATCACAGAAAGGCCCGCTTTCCACAGTGCTGTTCGTACGGTTTCAGGCAACCAGCAGACAAACAAATGGACCTTGGCAGAGTCATTGAAGAGAAGAGGTGTTGAATATGACTCATTGAAGGCATGCCGAAGGCATGTCCAGAAATAGATGACCTCAAAGAAACCATATATTCTGGCCGTTAATACATGTTAATACTGACCAACATTGGGTTGGTACTTTCCAAATGGCATGCCCCAAAATGGGCATGGCTCCCCCAGATGCACCCATCCTCCAATTAGCATGGAGAGATGTCTCCAAGGCCTATTGTGATCCCGTGTTTTTTTCCCTTCACCCCCCCCCCCCCCAGGAAGCAAAAAACCCGTGGGCTTCTGGCGACTCCGTTTTTCTGTCCAGGAAGCCAACCCCCCAGCGAGGCATGGAGAAGTCCAGCCTCACCTTCGAGGTCTCCTTCTCCACAGTGCGGGAAACCGTGTCCCACGTTCCCTTCTGCCAAGCCTTCGGGGTGGCCACTTCAGAGTTCCCGGAGCGGGTTGATGTTGTTTCTTGAGTTGGGACGTTCTCTCGTTTTTTGGGGGGTTCAATCTTTCCTCTTTTTTTTTTTCCGCTCGGGTCCCCCATTTTGAGAGTTTGAGACTTGAGGCGTATAAATGGTGGGTTTAAACTGAAACTGGGACCCAAAAACCAAGCTTCCACGTGTCTTTTGGTGTTGGAGCTCACTGATCCGGAGGTAAAATGAGGTCACCATGATGAAGGTCCTTCGGGATCCACTGTATGTCACTTTTTTACAGTATAGTTATTTGCAAGAAGGTTTCATGAGGGGTGGAGCTTATGCAGATACAAACCAAACAGGCAGAATAAGCAGACCAAGCACGCAAAGCACGAAAGACAACCAGTGCAAACCAACGAAGCATCAACGCAAAACAAACCACACGAGGCAAGATAAAGCAGGCAACCAAACACAAAATCAACAGCTGCCAAATCAAGAGCAGTTGATGCAGAATAAACAAACCGAGCCCAACGGCGCAAGCAAACGAATCAAAGCCAAAAGCTCTTCGATGGAACTCCGACGCGAGGAGGGCGTGCCCATCCCCTCCCGGTACGAGGACCTGGTGCCCGATGCCATCTACGGGCCTGGGTACTTGACGCTCTCGGTGGAGGATGGGGTGGAGACGTGTTGCATCTGCTGGGGGGGACCAAGCAAAACATAAAGTACACAACCACTATATGGGTGTGTCTTCCTTTCAGGGTGCGTGCTAAGAGGCTGGCATCTTATTTTGCCCACTTTCTGGGCTGAACAAGTGGGGATTCAATTCTTGTTTCAGTTCCGAGGTAAACGATGAATGGGCGAACTGCAACAGCGCATACCAGCCTTGGAGCGGAGCTCGCGTGCCACGTTTTGGTGTTTCGTTGTTGGCCGCCTGAGGATCCTGAAGACCCTGGTTTTTCACGGGGTCTGTCAGGGCGTCGGGGGGTATGTTGAGTCCCTGTGCGATTTTGCCAAGCGCCGAAAAAGTGGACGTAAGGGGATAGTGGTCTTCTAAAACTCTCATGTAAAACCGAAGGGCGGCCCAGAAGTGGTGTGAAAGAAGCCTTGGTATCAAGCAGCCTTGGTGTTAACCAGCCTTGGTGTCAAACAGCCTTGGCGTCAAACAGCCTAGGCGTCCCGTCCCTTTGGACAAAAACACATGGATTTCACAAATGAACGAACATCGAACCGCGCAGGAAGAGTTCGCCCGGTCCATTTGTCTTCTTTTTCTCCCGGAAAGGCCTCCGTCGCCTTTTCTTCCGCGCCGGGACCGCCTTGCCGCCCGGTTTGAAGGACGTGGTGAGGGCGGCGGGGCGGGCGCTGGAGGACGAGGGCAGCGAGAAGGCGCCCTTGAGGCTGGCGGGCCTGGAGATCGTGGCGCGGGTGGAGGCGCGCCGCCGGGTCGCCGGGTCGCCGAAGTCGGATGTCGATCTCCGAGGGTTCTCGCGGGCTCGGTGTGCTGTTTTGCCACTTTGGGGGGGGTGGGGGGGGGGGTGGGTTCTCAGGATCTTTTTTCTTCTTTGTTTTTTTGCTTTTCCTGGATCATTTCGCTGGCAAGCCGAAAAGAGGTAGGCTCATTTTGCTGGGGCTCTGCAGGATGGCTGGTGTTATCCAGAGCCCTTGATGGGGTTGAGGTTTGGGTACCTTCCCAAAGAAGAACCCAGAGTTCAAATCCTGGTTCATCGCGTGCGGCGCTCAATGCTTCTTTTGATATGCTCCTCACATGGCTGAATGCAAGCCTTTTTGCTTGCCCTGGTCCAACCTCGTGCGGTTTGTGCCCTTGTTTGCTTTGTCCTCCTCCTGACGCAGCGCCAGGAGGGTTTCTTCTGGAAGGAACATCCTTTCAGATGCCATGCTACCGGATGGGCAAAATGCCACTGTTGTCACGCGAGCTTTCTTTGTCTTTCTTCTTTGGGTTTGGGATCTGCTCATGCTCAGCCAGGCAAAACATTTTTTCGCCCTTTCCTAGCGAACGGGTTGCCGGGCTTCCGTTGCCTTTTCCCCTTCCTTTTTCCGCGCCTCCGTCAACGCCCGTCCGCGCCTCCGTGCCTCCGTGCCATATTTGGCAGGTGAGGAACTATGTGCCCTACCGCTGGCCGCTGTCGGCCTGGAATCTTGCCAGCCGAATGGGCGAATGGGGGGGAATGGAGAACGGGGACTGCAACTTGACGGCGGTTCCAGTGGCTCCCCCGTCATTAAAAGCAAGAAGCAAAACGGGCCAGAACGTAACAGGAACTTTGGCGGGGGCAGGGTGGGTTCTTCATGGTCTTCTGGGGGTGGTCGTTTGTTTTTTGTTCGCCCTGTCTGTTTCTCTTTCTTCAACCCAAAAAGGGTCCGCAATTCTAAGCCACACCTCCCCATTCTGAAGAGCTAACCCAATTATCCCCCAAAATGGATGCAACAACAAGTGCCATCGAAGCAGTCCACCCAAGCAGGCTAAACCTCAACTGTTCCCATTCTCTCCCTTTGCCGACTCTCAGCAGCCCACTAGGCCTCTCCCAAGCAGGAGCGGGCAGCCTTGCCCTTGTTGTTTTGCCCACATCCATGTCATGAATCATTGCCAAGGCGACCCTGACAAGCACAAAGCCCGTGGCTTCACGGCAAGCATTGAAGCATCCTCCATCGGCACAAGCTTCCAATTCACTTCCTCATTCTTTCAATGGGGGCCCACGCAGCAGCCCAGGCAGCAGTTGTCATTACTTTCGGGAGGAAAGACCGGAAATCCTAAGAAAATTGGATTCTTGGAAAGAATGGGTTTTAACCGAAAATATGGCCTCATACAATACTTCCCCATTCTGTCTGGCTTTCCAATTTTCACTCAAAACAGATGCACAAGCGGAAAAAAAAAGAAACAACAACAGGGACACACTGACCTCTGATCGAAAACGATGCTGGGGGACAGAATGATGGGGTGGGGAAAGAAGGGAAACAATGATGGTTGTGGGGAAAGAACGATGGTTGGGGAAAGAACGATGGCCCTGGGGAAAGAACGATGGTTGTAGGGAAAGAACAATGCCCCTGAAAACAGAACGCTGCCAGTAAGATCGATGGCCTGCAGCGGCATGACTTTGGCAGGTCAGGGACCAGTCTATTGGCCCTACCCCTAGCCCGCGGGACAACTTTCTGCATGCGGCAGTGCTCGCTGCAGAAAATGCACTGAGTGCACGTGTGACGAAAGACTGGGGAATCAACCCTTAGAGCAATCCTTTTTTGGCGTTTCCAGGGTGCTCAAATCCTTTTTGCCTCTTTGTTCGAAGGGATTCCCCTTTAAGCTCAACCAAAAAAGAACAACAACCGAACCGGGGTCCGCCCTTTAAGCTCAACTACTCGGTGATTGTTGGGACACATCTTACATTTTTGCTTCTGGTGTCGTGGCTGAATTTTTGAACCACTCCGCTCAGATTTTCGCAAATTTTGGCTTCACTTTCGACGTCTGCCCCCCGTACCGCAGGAACCCACTAGGCCTCCGCAGGGCGGAGGACTTGGAGTGCTCTGTGAGGTTCCGGGTGCTCAGGGACCAGTTCACCCCCATCCAGCGCCTGGGCTTGGAAAAGGGGGGCTTTTAAAGCCCTTGGCGTGTCTTTGACGCGGGCGGATCTTGCTGCAGATCTGTCTGTTTCTTGTTCCTTTTTCGTTTTTTTTCTTATAAAACTGTTTGGGAGGTTGTTTTCTCCCGGCGGAATGCGGCGGGTTTAAACGCGAGGCGTGGGGCCGGGGATGCCGCCTGGGCCGAGGATCCGAGGCCTCGAGCTTTCGTGACGCCTGAAGAAAGCTCAGCCGTTTTTTGTTTTTCGCTTGGCGCAACTCGACGGGTTTGGGCGCAAAAAAAAAAGCAGGCATATGTGACATACGTACATGCATGCATAAATGCATACATGCATACGAAAACACATACGTGCGCTCATACATGTTCTTGCTGCTTCTTGGTTCTGTTCGTGCTTTGTGGCCTGCACAGCGCAGCTCCGTTTCCCTTCGGAGCTACTTTTGAAACCCACCGCCCTTCATAACCTGCCACTGCTTTTCCGCGTTTTTTCTTTGTGCGGTCCCCAGGCACCCAGGCCCCAGCCGATCCAGGCGCCAGCTCAGGTGGTTCTACGAGGGCAAGGCCCCTGTGGCTCTGCAGCACGGGCTGCGCTTGGCGGTGGTCGGCACTGGCAGCGTGGGCTACTTCAGCCTGGCCCAGCTGGCCACGCAGCGCCTCGGAAGCAAAGAAATAGGCTAAGCGTGGGTCAAAACCGTTTTGGGATCCCATTTTGGGGGTGGGTGAACTCACCACCCATTTCGGAACCTATTTTAGTGGGGATTGGGATGTTCACTGGGGGGGTACGATTTGGATGACCCATGGCCAATTGGTGAACGTGCGGCCAGCTGCCCTTTCCTGATGAATCCCCCCCCCCCAGTTGTGTATCAAGAAGGGTATTAAAGTTGGGGGGGGGCGGGGGGGGGGGGTTAAAATACCAGATGCCAGATAAAGTGGTCGAATCGACAAGTTTGGTATTATGGCTTTGCACACTATGGTGCCGGCCCTAGCGGTTCGGTTTGATGGGAAGTGGCGTATCTTCGGTTGGAAGCCCGGTTCACATTCTAGTCGTTCACTGGTGCAAGGGGTTGGTGAGAGGTTGGTGAGGGGTTTGTATGGAGGAGGGGTTAGTGGGGTTGGCAGTTGTTCGACTTAAACCAAGGTGTCACCCCCTTGCAAAGTCACATAGCGCCCAACAAAAGCAGTCCCCTAACAACAGAGATTCCTCTGTTTTTTGGCTTTCATGTTAATCTGGGGTGGAGGGGGGGTAGCAACCTAGGGTAGGACCGCTTACGATGGCTCATTCTCCTTTTTTTTTCTGGGTGGGGGGTGGGGACCCACAAGCAAATCGTGGCCTTTTGGAAGGCAAAATAGGTGATCCTCGGAGTTGAGAGGAAATCTCAATCACCAAAAGTTTACACTGGCTTGAGGCTGCTGGCTTTCTTCTTGCAGGGGTTCCATTGGAAGGCTTTTCATAACATTACCGTCCCTCAACCCCCTCTCCCCCTTGTTTACTGGGTGTGGCTCCTTTCTTTTTTTGAGGCTCGGTATTCCCCCCTCCTTTTGTTTGTTTGTGTGTACGTGCTTTTTGTTTTTCTTCCCCCCTCTGGCAGCCAAAAGAAACACCGAGATCAATTTCAGGGCTCCGACTCCCATCTTCCCAAACAAGGACCTCCAAAGCGCAGCTCTTCCCTCGCATCCCCGTCGGCTAACGGCTTAACAGCTTAACGGCTTACGGCTGCTCTCTAAGTGGTGGGTTAAAGGGACACTCTGCCACTTTTCATTTTCTGGCTTTGATCACCAGAAGCCGTCGAAAGAATGACCCCAGCCTCGTTCGCCTCAGCCGGGAGGATCCTTCTGAGCTTCACGGCCTTCGGCCTGGCGCAGACCTGCCTGGACTACGGCTGGCGGCTCGGGCTCGGGCCTCCCGGGTTCGGAGCGAGCCGTGGGGCCGTGGGGTTTGGGGGGGGGGATGGGGTTCCTGGACCACGGGGTAAAACCCATGGGGGTTTGGTTTGGGGTTTTGGAACGTGTGCTTGGGAAACCCCTGGTTTGGATTTGGATATGAACCCTGGGTTCTTGAGGGTACATGGGGTTTGACACCCCGGAGCACTTCTTCAGCCAATCCTAGACCAGTGGGAAGCCAAGTATGCCAACCTTAGGGTCAAAAAGCAGCGGCAGGTGGCATCCTTTGGTTTCCGGCCAGGGCAAGCATTCGACCCCATCGACGCGCAAACCCTGAGGTCATCTATGGCTTCTTTTTTTGGGGGGGGCCTGCACGACAGTCTGCGGGACCCAGTTGTTTCGACCCCCAGTGTAGTTTGGGATTGGAGAAGCAAAGTCCCCCGCAGTTTTTACAACATGGGCCTGTGCCCCCCCAATCCCCTCAGGGCGGGGCTTTGGCAGTTTCTTGGGAGCAAGCGGGGCGCGAGGGTGTTTTGAGGGCACCCCTTCAGGTTGGTTTGACGGAAGCCAGAGGCGAACCACATTTTTTGCCTTCGGCCGGAAGGCGAAGCGATCTGCTTGTCCATCTCGTGGCCGACAGGTTCACACCAACATGAAGCTACCTGGCAAATACATGCATCTGTAATTATGAACCCGTACAAGCACATGTATGTATATATATATATATGTATATACATGTATACAAATAAAAATATTTTTAAACATACATATATATATATAGACATATGTATATGTATGCAAAACAAGTTTGTGGGATGCTCTGTGAGAGCCAAGACAACCAGTGGAACTTCTTTCCAACCATCATCGAATCGGACGGTTTGAGGCCTTGGTAAAAAAGATTGTCGTCTTAAAAGGACCCCCCGCCCAGTCCACTTCCCTGCTTGAAGACAGAAGGCTTCCCCCACAAAAGAAAACCATACCATTTTTCCATCATGGCTACAAACACATATTCTAACATGCATGTTTCAAAGATACGTATGGATTTGGACACCAACAGCCTCCCCCCCAAAAAATAAATGAGCCAGCGTTCTCCCCTTGAAAGCCGTGGGTTCCTTGCCCCGATTCGCAGCTCCGAGGTACTACGTGCACCGGCAGTCCACCACCATCGCGACCCGGGCCTTTGACCGCCTGGACCTGCAGCGGCCCAAGGCGCGAAATCTCGCCACCAAAGTCGGAGATTTTTTCTGCCGCAACAACCAGAAGAACTTCATTTTTTTTTTTTAATTGGAAACTGTTTTTTTGTTTTTTCATCGGTTTCCCCGGTTGGTTTTCTTTGAAGGAAACCTACCACGTCCCTTTGAAGGACTGTGATGCTTGAAGGCGACATGTGTTGAGAATCCTGACCAATCTGTCCAACTAGGGTTACCCAATTAGAGTCACCCTCACGTACGGTTGTTTTGGAAGGCCCCTGTTTTGAGTCTTACGGAAGCCGCAGGGATCTCCGAAATCGGTCTTGCTTTTGGTTCAATTCCCATTTTAAGACACAGGCGGTTTAAACATGCTTTCGCCATGGTTGAAAAGAAGAGAAAAGCTACTTCGCCCTGGCAGGTGGACTGAGTGCTCCGAAGAAAAACACGGCACCGTTTCGTTGTGCTCCTGGAGAGCGGGGAGAAGACCGTGGCTTGGTGTGACTTTTTTTGGGGGGTGGGGGGGTGGGTGGGGAATTGTATATAATTTTATTTTGAAATCCAACAGGAAAGTTACAATTTGTTGCCCCAGATGGCACGTGCCCGTATTTTCTTGTGCACAGTGCATGCACAAATCCAATCTCTTCATATCCAGTTCCGGCATTTGGACTGCCCTCACGGTCTAGTAATTTCCTGCCCTTTGAGGAGCATGTGCATGGGTTTCGGAGGTATGGGTGCGAATGTACCGTGAGCTCAAAAAGTACCCATTTTCCAGTCGTAGCTCCTCGGAAACCCATACCTGTGTTTTCGGCCTCGACCCTTTGTTGCTTTGTTCCTCTCTTTGTGGGTTGGCCTCGTGCAGCCTCCGGGTGGCACTCTTGTGATTTCTTGTCGCCGTTTGGCAGGGGTCGGCCATGTATGTTTCCTTTGGGTAGTTTGAAACATGACTTCTTGCAAAAAAAAGGGCATGATTCTTGCACAAGCCCCCCACGGGGAACTCCCTTAAAGCCTCCCCGCCCCTCTCAAGATTCACTCTGGTGAATTTACGGCGAGTTTCCTTTAGGCGGGCTGGCCCTGTTTCTGGTTGGGCTGCACTTCGCCCAGCCGACGGCGCATGACGGGTGGGGCTCTCGGTTCATTGAAACAGTCCACTTCCAAGCAGCGGTTTTTCCCGCGGGGTTCAACTGGGCAACTGGGCAACCAGGCTTGCCAGCGGAACGAGCTGGAGCTGTGAGGAGAAATGTCAGCCGTTTTCAACAAGGCTCTCTTTGAACCTAAGACTCGAAGACTCTAGTGACCCTTCTCTTCAGAACCTTTCCAAGGGCATGGGGTGTGATGGACCTGATGACCCGTGCCCACCGTGCTGGGGCTCCTCTTTTTTCTTTTTCTTTTTTGGTCCAACCTAGGCCGGTGTTGCAAAACCCGACGGCCTGCTTCCCCGCGCAGATCCGGCCCGAGACTCGCAGCGAAGCGAGTCTGACGTGGAGCGAGTCCGAAGCTGGCCGGGCGGAACGGCGGCGGCGGAAGAAGAACCGTCCGGGTGGAAAGGCCGCGAGGGAGCACGGGGTTGTGTCTCAGAGAGTGCGCGGGGATGCGCTTTCGGGGTGGGGTGAAGTGGTGGGGTTCCCTTCTTTTGGTTTCCCCTGAAAGCGCCCCCCGAAAGGGGCAACGTGAACAAACAATGGCCACACAAGAAACGAGGGAGATAGGCCGTTATTGAGCCCTTTCGGGTTTTCCAATTTCGATCCCAACCATAGGTGGTACATGGTTTTGGGTTCGTGACTCGACGGCTGGCGAGTTTTCGGTTCACCTGTCAAGAAAGAGGCCCGAATTGGGAAGTGACGTCCGCAGCTATGGCTCATGTCTGCCAACGAAGAGGAAAACTCAATTCGACGGTTATCCTGTTGCTGAGCGGGGCCAGTCCCTTGCACCTTGTTTCCCCCCCAAAAAGGCAGCACCCACAAAAGAAACACAGCAGCGCACAAAAACGGGCCTGCCCCACCTGCAAGCAAAACCAGGCAGAAGCGGGGAAAAAAACAAAAACAAAACAAAAACGGTCGGACCCAGACTGACTGCACTGCGGCAAACAACCACCAACAGACCCCCTCGCTTTCGGGTCTCGTTCGGCTCGTGAAAAGTGCACCGTGCCCCATGCAATTGTTCAAGCCGCTGGCGCCGCCGCTGGGTCACGCACACCAGCTGCAGCATGCATGGCCCTCAGAGAGGTGAGGTTGTGCCGCCCCGGAGCTTTGGTGAGAAATGTTATCTTGATGTGCATGGGCTTTGAAGGAGGGAGTTGACAAGTTCATGAAGATGGTTGACCTTTTGGTAAAAACAAAGCCTGCCAGTTGCCTTGCAAGTGACAGGGGCTTGTTATTGATGGGGATGTTCGGTGGGTTGAAGTGAGCCAGCGCAGAATCGGATCGAGGCCGACATGCGAGCAAGCCCGCCCGCGATTTCTCAATCCCAGGTGGTCTCTTTACTGGACGTCCAGACATGCTAGGCCATGGACCAAGAATCCACAAATTCACAGACCGGGTTGAGAATACCGTGCTATGCTGCCAGGATGTGGAGATCCATCGCAAGTCAATCTTGCCTTGGTGTAAAGTCAGCTCCATGAATGGCCCTTTGATTTGCGGATTGTTTTTTTGCCAGTTGTTTGGAATTAAACTCAGGGTTGGCTCTCTGATTCCTTTCGGAACCCTTGTGGACAAATCGAGCGGGCTGGTAAATTTTTTGAAGCAAAATGATTGCGGTGGCATCTATCAGCCAAGTCCCAGGAATCCAAGAGGGGCACTGTATTCATTTTCCAGACCCCCTATTATTTGACACCCAGATTGCGCAGCATCTCTGCAACCACCCTGCCATGGCCCGATGCGATGGCATCACCGGCGGACTTTGTTGAGGACCTCTCAGATGACGTGCCTTCGCTGGTGGAAATGTCTTTCGCGTGGCTGTGTTTGCTTTCGTGGCTACCCCCTCTTTTTTTGTTTTTGTTGGTGGGGGGGGTGGGGAATCCCATTCAGTTTTGTTTCCTTTCATTACTTGAAGGGGCGCTGCAACAAAAACCAGTGTGGCTGTCAAACGTACCAAAGCTTGGCAAGAGCGGGTTTGTCTCAAGTGTGGCACTGGTCAAGAATCTTTGTTCAAATCTCTGTTTACATCCCCAGTTTTGAGATGCGATTTTCCCATCATGCCCCGAAACTTCTCTATGTCATACCAGTAACATTAGCACTGTTGGGAATGTAACCCAACAGTACGTGCGGAACATGTTTCTTTTCTTCTTCTTTTGCGGGGGCGGGGGTGAAGTGCATTTCCATGCGGACAAAGCCTATTGAGGCTGTCAAAGGGAAACCAGGAATGCATGAACATTCCAAATCCCCCCAGCTTGACACGCAGAAACTGAAGGTGTTGAGCCTGTCGGTTCAGGTTCTGTCGCGGGTACTTCTGCATTTGGCCGCGCGAGATGCTCTGCCCTTTGCGGCGGCGTCCCGGGCGATGCGGGTGGCTGCCGACGCTACGGCGCGGCGCGTCTATGCCCAGGACGGGCTCGTCTCTGGGTGTGCTGAGTTAGCTATGGGGCAGAGCTCTGCCCAAAGAGTTTCGGGGCGATGGGATAGGCGTGTGAGCTTGGTTTGTTTGCAGGTCTTTGGAATTTCGCTTAATGCCAAAACCTGGCAGAGAGACGGGCTGTTTCTGTTTCTTTTCTGTCTTTGATATTTTCTTCTTTAATGGACAGCAATCGCCGCAATCGCAGTCTTCTGTCATTTCCAGAGGCTATATATTTCTAGCCTTCAGACAGCTTTGGACTGGATCAAGCTGACAGTCAGGTACCCCTTAGTAGGTGGTTTTGATTGGTGGCTTTGGATTTGAACCCTTCATTCTTCAAATCTAAATGGGAGGCTACCCCGGAACACCAAACCAAGGCGCTGGGCTCCAAACCGGGAGCTGATACTGACAGGGCTGCGGGAGTTGCAAAAGCTGTGATGCTTCTGTTGGCCGAAATCGGCTTGCTGATTCCTCCTTTGCCGAAGCCAGCTGAAAGTGCCAACTATGCGTGTTTCTCAAGAGATGCGGCCACGGAGTTGTTTTGAGGCTCAATTTTACGCATGACGCGTCGGTGTTTTGGATGTTTTTGGAGCTCTTATTTCAGATATTTTTGTCCCAAAGAGGGGCCAGGAAGCTGCTGGTACTTGCTCACCATTTTTTTAATATCCCAAGTAGGGATTGTAGCTTACCACCTTTGCCAGAAGGACCGGACAACACCCTACACTGCGGTGATGATTACCTGACTGCTTTCAGAAACAGACCGCACGACATTTCGTGTAAATGCTTTTTGGCGAATGCGGATCAGGCAACAGATCTTTTCGGCCAATCTGCAGGGCAGAGATGCCAAGGGACGAGCTCTAATTTTGCCATGCCCTCTTGCACCCCCCCCCTCCCCCCGCCCCTTGAAACATCAGCTTGGTCAATGTAAGTTGGGTTTGCGTTTGGTAGGGTGATGATGTTGGGGAAGTGTAGCCCTCCAAGGTGCCCACCCCTTGAAAGATCGACATGTTAGATGCCGAATGCGGGGGATCCTGCCGGTTCTTGCAATCTTTCAGAAGCCAGAACGGAGCTGGAAAGGGGTCCGGAATCGCATGCGCCATCCCAAAACGGGACGTTTGCGCTTCCATCCCTCCTCCCCCGTTCCTTTCCCCGCTCCGGGCTCCTGGCACCCGACTGCTCGCGCGCACGACGCTCGCTGCAGCTCGCTCCGGCAGGCCTTCGGCTGCGCGGAGCTGGCGGCGAGCTTCGCGCCGGGGCTGGCGCAAGGCAGGGCCAAGCTCTTCGCCCGCCTGGACCGCGCCAGGCGGGAGGGTCCTGGGTCCGGCCACGCCCCAGAGGCCACAAGCCGCAAAAACCATCGATTTCAACCGTAAGGGTTTTGCTGAAGATCTGTTTCCCCCTCCAGCATAGCAGGGTATGCAGCTAGAAACGTAAGGCAGGATTTTTGCAAGAGAAGGGGGCAACTGCGTGCCACATGTCTCGTTTTCGCAGGAACCCTGAGTCTCCCAGCAGTTGGTTGCTGTTTTAACCTGTGGGGCGTCAGGGCCTTTCAGGTTTTTGCTTCTTCTTTTTTTTTTTTTTGGGGGGGGGGTCTCCCAAGAAAAAGTGGTCCACTGGCGCCCAACCTTTGCACACCAGGAGTTCGAAAAAAAATCCTAAGGTCTCCCAAGAGTGGCATCAGTTCCACTGAGGTCTCCCAACCCGCAGTGCGTGAGAGAGACCTTCGCCTGGGCTGCCGGGTTCGGGTACTGCAGCTTCCTGTCCTCCACGGCGAAGCTGGCTTCCGACGCCTGGCCTCCGGCGGCGAGAGAGGCGCTGCTGAATGGCCGCCCCCAGGCGTGTGGGGGCGGGGGGGTGGTATCAGGAGGGGGGGACATGGTTGGGGGAAACCGGGGATGTTTGTTTTGTGGTTCAAGGCCAAGGGAATCTGCAATTCAGCTAGGCCTCTGTACATGTGGGCCCATCAGTTGCTGCCCTTGCAAGGACCTCACATGAGTCTCCTGTGTGCATACCGCGGCCACCAATCATCTAGGGGCCCCTTGCGCCTTAGCAATCGACCTGTGCAGCCATCACTACGCCGGTGGACAGACCACCTTCGCATCCCGTGCCAAAAGGACACGTCATTGTGCTGCGCTTTGAGAGCTACGCCATTGCATTGGTAGCGGAGCACGGCTACCCGATCCAGAAGCTCCTGAACCCTCTCAGATCCGCCTAAGGCCTGGTTCTGTACATCAGAGACCTTCTGCCCTTTTTCATTGGCCCGACCCTGTGCATCAAGGGTTACCACCTGCTTTTCCCTTTTGTGTGTGCATTCAGCTCCCTGCTGTGACACACCACCCGTGCTTTGACCTCCCTCGCCCACGCGACGTTGAGGTTGGCATCCACATCATGAGCGACAAGGAGGGCAGCGCACCGTCCTGGGATGGCTCAGCGAAGACATGGCGCAAATACACAAGAGAGACTGCCTGGTGGGTACAATCAGTGCCGCAACATAAGCGGCGGTACTGTGCCACCCGCTTGGTGAGCCGCTTGACAGGACCTGCAAGGCTGCTGGCCATGTCCTGGCCATTGGCAGCTTTCGACACACCAGACGGTACCCGTGACCTTCTTAGACGCCTAGCAGCATCAGCACTGGTCAGACAAAGCCTTCCGAACACTGCGGCGATCTGCGCTCAGTACTTTGCCTTCAAGCGCCTTCCTCAGGAGACCACGCAGGCCTTCTTGATCCGCGAGACCCTGGAATACGCAGAGTTTACGGAAGCCTTGGTTCGTCTCTACGAGGAGCAGAATGGCATCAAGCAGGAGGACAAGGACTTCGGCATCCCTCCGGCCTACCGCGAGGAGTCCTGGTACGGCGATGAGGCCAACTACGATCCATGGGATAATGCCTTCTATGGTGCCGAGCCTGCTGATCCCTCTGCCCCTGAACCATCACAAGAACAACCTGGCAATACGTCAGGAGAGACGAGCTCCCGAGAGGCAGCTCCCGGTGCCTCGCCACTGGTCCTACGCCTGCTGTTCCATCGACTGCTGCACCGGCTGTGGAGGCGACAATCCCACCCATTGCGGGAACCTCGTGAATGAGCTGTCCATCACCGACTCCTTCATCATGGGTGTTCTCCGAGGCTAGCCTCTCCAATGAGGAGAAGCGGGACATTTTGTCCACCACGCGCAATTGGGTCCATCAGCAGTGCTCTTCGTCTTCTCTGGGATGAACAACTACTTGCCATTCCCCTGCTGCTCATCAAGGATACCTGCATTGCCAAGAAGCTCCTGATGCTGATCATCATGGATCAGAGTGGCAGCAAGGCTACTCATCTGAGCCCTGGTGGCCTGAAGAGGACTGGTATCAACAATGGTACGCTGGAGACGCCTCTGTCTGGGAAGACGACGCTACACCACCTGAAGAGCCAGATGTTCCTGACACCGGTGATGATGCCCATCTTCAAGAAGCACAACAAGCTCAACGCACATGGGTGCAGGCCAAACAAGCCACTGCTGCTCTTCACCGTGATCGTGGTTTTGGGAAGGGCAAGTCGCCCATCAAATGCTTCAACTGTGGCGGCAATCACATGGCTCGTGACTGTCCCGACCGACGTCACCCTGCTCATCCCAAAGGAGCCGGCGGTAAGGGAAACTCCAACTTCATGGCGGGAATGGACCCTTACTACGACATCTACTACTTCAAGGGCTCCAAGGGTAAAAAGGGCAAGGGCAAGGGCAAGTTTGCCAACTTCGGGGAGTACGACCACGACGCCATGTACTTCAAGGGCAAAGGCAAGAACTGGTCCTCTGGCAAGGGCACTTCTGCACCACCGCGCTCCTTTGTCAACTCCTACACCACGGAGTACTTTGGCCTGGACATGAGCACCAAAAGCTCAAAAGAGTGCCACTCCACCTCCCTGGCATCTACCCAGGGCGATTTGTGAAACCCGCAACTTCAAGGTCTATGCCCTACCCAATCCACCAGAACTACGTGCTCCTGGTTTTCAAAGATCTATGTTGGTCCCCATCCTCATTGGAATGGATCATTTGGGTCAACATGGGGCATCTATGATGATTGATTTTACCACCGGCCTGGCCTTGAATACCCTGGAAGATGATCCCCGTCCATATCAGCTTCGACAGAACCACAAGGGACACTACGTTTTGGACATTAGGGAGTATCTCACCAAGGGTCAGCACAACCCACAAGGTCACGCCCACGTTCTCATCAAAGGGAGTCCCGGTGGCATGATGGGAGAGTCGCATGTGCTTGAATTTCACCCCCTGCACTTTCAGCTTGACTCTGCCGAGCATGATGTTGCCACAGTTGACTGTGCGATTGATCCACGGCGAATACTCATGATGGATCGACTCCGTAGAGCATCTGCTCAAATGCGCGTGGCACCCCAGCCACGGGAACCCAATTCGTATACCTCTCGCACCTCCCAGAACGGCCATGTCCCGACCACCGATGTCACACCTGGGTGCGGAGGGCGAGGAACTGATCTACGACCAGATCAAGAAGTCCACTCCCAAGAAGAAGAAGACACCACAGGACTTCGACCTGTCAAGGAGTGTGGGACCAGACCCTCGAGATCCCCGACACTCCCAGAGCCAATGGCCATGCTACGGACGCCATCAACCCAAGATGCAGAGCAATCCGCACGGCCAGTGGGCTCAATGCGAGGTCTGCAACTACCGCCTTCAGTACACCCCTCGGAAGGCCAGTCCGGGGAGTCACACTCAGAGCATGAACCCTGTTGTGGTGGGCCGGATGCTCTCCCGGCTGAAGGTGTTGCTCGAGGATGTGAAACCCACGGCAACACGATGCATCGCCATGATGGAGAAGCTGAACGCCGAGGAGAAGCTCCTTCTCAAGGTCGACGAGGTCAAGAAAGCCACCAAGTCAGCTCCTCCACCACAGCCAGCACCAGTAAAGACTCGCGCAGTGTCACCTTCGAGGACGTCGACGTCGGCGGCATCCAACGGCAGTTGGGAAGCTGTGGGAACATCTCCTACCAAGGATCCCAAGAATCTCGAAATCATGCACGACATGGAGAAGCACCTCACCGACCAGGAGAAGCTCGAGCTCCTTCAGATGCTGAAGGAGCGCAAGGCCAAGTCCTTCGAGGACGGCATCATGACGCCCATCACGGAGAGCCAGTGAAGCGACTACCTCAGCATCTCGGCCTCAAGCTACTCCAGCTCATGACCCTCATGAACAACAACCTCACCTCAGCATCAGCTGACATAGTACTTGATGGTCAGGACTTCATGTGGGAAGTCGCCTGTCCCAGCACCTCCTGGCTCACCTCCGAGGCACAGCAACATGGACTACAAGCACGCCGCATCAACTTCGAGTCTGGCTACGACATCTACAAACCAGACACTTGGGACAAGCTTCGTGTTCTACGGCGACGTCACAAACCACGCAAGATTTGGTTCTCACCACCGTGTACCAAGTGGTGTCAGTTTGCCAATCTGAACTACAGCACTCCTGAACGTCGCGAAGTCCTAGAAACTGCACGGCGCCGTGAACGCCGCATGCTCAAGCAGGCCAAGACCTTCTTCCTAGAGATCCTCCGGGAGGACCCCAACGTTGACATCTACTGGGAATGGACACATCCCTGCTCTGGTTGGGTACAAGCTCTTGGTCATGACTGGCTTCCATGTCGAATTGATGGCTGTCGGTACAGCATGAAGACCGCGGACGGATCTGCCTTGATCCACAAGAAATGGATGATCCGCACCACCGATGAGCGCTTCCATCACAACTTCCGAGCCAAGGTCTGCACCGCCAACCACGAGCACGCCCGCATAGAGGGCAGTGAAACAGCCCGCAGTGCTTACTACCCGCTCAAGATGGTACAAGCCATTGTCAGACACTGGCTTCGTGAACTGGTACCTCTTCGCCATATCAAGTACCTCTCGGCCACCCAGAACATCGCCAACAACGAGTTTGACGATGAGGACGGCAACTGGACTCGTCGTGAGAGCCCGCTCGAAAACATCCATATGACCTACCACCATCTGGATGGAGATTCAGCCTTTACTACTGCTCCCTTGACACCTGCAGCGTCTCAACCTCAAGCTCTGTTGCAGTCTACGTCCTCAAGAGCGACTGAACAATCTCCTCCTCAAGTACTACCAACGAATTCAACGGGCAATGTCTATGCCCAGCAAGTTGCACGGCCTGATGATCCACCAGCACCTGATGGCGAGCCACCCGACCTACTTGCCGATGTAGATCCTGATGAAGCCAAGGCATGGGAAGCAAAACTACATCGCTTTCATCAAGCCGCTGGACATCCGACCAACCGGAACCTGATCCACCTCTTTCGTGATGCACAACTACCACCTTGGAAGATCGAGATGGCCAAGCGCTTCAAGTGTGCATCTTGACCAAGGTCAAGTTCCTCCTTATGATGGACCTGGCCACACGCCTACGTGTCATTCACATCATCAAGTGCTACGACACACTGCAGATGCAGAGTGAGAGCACAGAGGACATCATTCGCGGCTTTGCTGAAAAATGGTTGGCCGACAAACCCAACCCGGAGATCCTCATCCCGGACAATGCACTCACCATGGTCTCCAAGCACATGGGTAGCTTCCTGTCGGATGTGGGCATTCAGTTGGCACCACCTGCCGAGAAGGAGAGCTGGGCATGGCCAAATTGAATCCGCCATGAAGGATGTCAACATGACCGCCTCTGCCATCCAGCTTGGAGCACCTGCTCAAGATCCGATCATCACCTTGCACCTGGCGATGGCCGCTCTCAACTCCACTGAGTATGTGAAAGGCTACTCCTCCTTCCAGTGGTGCTATGGTAAGGAGGACATGAGGACTCTCTCGGCCCTGCCAGAATCTCCTGGTAGTGATTTTTCACGGCTAGTTCAACTACGCCAGTCAGCCGAGGACACGGCCCGACGAACCAGAGCTCTACGAATCATGTCCAAGCTAAACAACACCACGGTTCGTCAGCCACTTCGCACCTTCCATCCGATGCAGTTGGTTATGGTGTGGCGTAAGCAATGGCCAGCATCTGTCCACTCGGGCAAGCGCGGCGGCCACAAGAAGTCGGGCAAGCCTCACTGGGTGGGACCCGGCAGAGTTGTTTTCCACGAAGTACTTCCACATCAACAAGGTGACGATGAGCGCCGACACATTGTCTGGGTCTTGCTGCAGAACCAACTTCTTCGCTGCAGTGTACACTCGGTACGCCCTACTACGTCCTTGGAGCAGACCGAGTTTGAGATCAACAACAAGGAGGATATCTCCCTTTGGCGTTCCCTCACGGACATCCTCCCCCGGAAGGAGTATGTCGACATCAGCGGAGACGAACCACTTCCTGGTGAACGTGAATTACCAGATCTGCCTGACTCCCCCAACAAGGAGACGGTCTACGTTCCTAAGCGTCGTGTGCGACAGAAGTCTGCTCTGGCACCAGACAACAGACGCCTGGTCTCGGCACCTTCCGGTGACGACGCCTGGGAAAGAGACTCCGACTGCTACGAACCCACGTCACCAGATGCGGAACCTCCTGCATTACCATCTGATTTGGAAGATGACCTTCCGGTCAATGCCTACGAACCTGACTCCAAGAAGGCCCGCACTGAGGAGAATGATCAGCTGCTCCACGAACTCAAGCCCTCGACCTCAAGCACTACCACCAAGGAGACCGTGACTACGACCTTCATTGGCTGCAAGAACTTCAACAACAAGAAGGTGACCTTCACCATCTCTTCATGCAGTGTGAGGACGTCATGCAGATTGAGCTCGATGTGGACTTGCCGTCGCACCGCCAGCAGAAATCCTTCGAGTCCAACGCCTCTGCCTTCATGGTCAAAAAGATGCGGGACTCCGAGGTTGTGTTGACCAAATTGTCCAACGAGCTCCGGGAACTCTTCAACCGCGCCAAGTCCAAAGAAGTCAGTAGCTTCATCAAGGCCGAGGCAGTCCGCAAGGCCTTGAACGACGAGGAAGTCCGCAAAGCCTTTGGATCTGGACGCATCATGCGAGCCAGATGGGTCCCCACATGGAAACTCACGCCTCCCGAGGACATCGAGGAGGCCAAGCGCGAAGCCGCCACCAACAAGAAATCTCCATACACCAAGGATGGCCTTCGCATATGCGTGCTGCTGGGCCATGAGCACCCTGACCTCCTTCGGCCTGAATTCAAGACCGCCAGTCCAGTTCAGTCGCACTTGGGCAGGAACCTCCTCTACCTCATGGCCTGTGTTCACAATTGGCCATTGGAAGGTCTGGACCTGGCAACAACCGCCTTCCTGCAGACTCAACCCACGGAGGCTGATCAAAACTTGTGGACACATGGTGTTGCTGAACTTCGAGACGCTCTTGGTTTGGGTCCCAACGATGTCATGAAGATCCTCAAGAACATCTATGGGAGCACCACCGCACCTCGAGGCCTGTGGCTAGATCTGCACAAGCGTCTCGCCTCCATAGGTGGTACGCCTCTTGTTGGAGAACGATGTATCTGGATTTGGTTGTCCAAGATCTACTCGGACTCCTTCGGCGTCCCCAAGGTTCTTGGTCTTATGGGCGGTCATGTCGACGATTTTCACCGAATCGGCGACCCGCAATCTCAAGAGTGGGCTGAAATTGTTCAACGCATCGACAAGCTCTACGACTGGGGCATGCTCAAGCGCGGCACCTACCGACATGCTGGTACCGATGTCCATGCATTCAAGGGTAACAAGGGCCGCACTGAGATCACGCTCAGCCAGCAGTATTACATCGAGACTGTGCCGGACCTTTACTGCTGATGAGATTGGTGCTTGCCGAGCAACATGGGGCAACCTTCAGTGGCTGGCTTTGCAAACACAGCCACAACTCAGTGCCCGGTGCAACCTACTTGCTTCGGAGATCACCACCAAGAAGCACATGGCTGTTGCTCGTGAACTTCAACAGATGGTAGGTGAGATCCGCAAGGTATCGCACCAGCTGCACTTTCGATGCCCCGATGAGGTGGGATCCTGGCGTGATGTGGTCTTCATCACCTTCTGCGATCAAGCGCACGCCAATCAAGCAAACCTGGCGGCCTGTTGTCTACCGCATCTGGACCTGCCGCCACCAAGGGCAAGGTCACCTATATGGCACCCTTAGCCTGGCGAAGCTGGAAACTTCGAAGGAAATCCATTTCTTCGAGCAACGCTGAGGTCCAAGCCATCTTGGAGGGCGAAGACCAGAACTTCAGGATTCGTGGTCTCTGGAGTGAGATGAATGGCGCAGGCTCCGTTCTCACCAAGCAACCAAGCAGGACGGCTATGTGACCTGGGGCGAAACTCTGGTCCAAAACGTCAAAGGGGTCTTATGCGCCAACTCCAAGGGCGGCTATGATGCAGTCGTCTACAACGAGAGCCCGATGCTTGGCCTGAGCAATGCGAGGGCTGCCTTACAAGCCCTACAGTTGCGTGAGCATATGCAACGGACGGCCTCTGAGCTGCGTTGGTTGGCCAGCGACTATGACTTGGGTGACGCTCTCACCAAGAAGAAGCCTGAATGCAGAGTTGGCCTCAACAAGTATCTGCATACTGGGCTTTGGAGCATCGCCTATGACAAGGACTTCACCAGTGCCCGCAAGAACCACTCCCTGGGCAAGTCCGCCGTGAAGGCCATTGACGATGCAAGGTCATCAACTGAGGAAGGGTTTTGTATCCATGCAATTCAGCTAGGCCTCTGTACATGTGGGCCCATCAGTTGCTGCCCTTGCAAGGACCTCACATGAGTCTCCTGTGTGCATACCGCGGCCACCAATCATCTAGGGGCCTTGCGCCTTAGCAATCGACCTGTGCAGCCATCACTTCGCCGGTGGACAGACACGTCATTGTGCTGCACTTTGAGAGCTACGCCGTTGCAGAATCCCTTAAAGAATGCCAGTGTTTCCGGGGTTGGCGGCCCTGGGATGGAAGGTTGGGGGTTTTGGAGGGTGGGTTAGGGGTTAGGGGTGGGGGTGGGGGTTGGTGGGTTCAATATTTGATTGCAACAATCATGTCTACAGCATACTCAAGCCCTCGAACCCTCACTTCAGATGTGCCTCTCTCATAGTTGAATCTAGGACTCCCAACCCATGGGCGAACAAACAACAACTGAACAGAAAAGAGAAACACCAATCAATTCTTCAATGCAGCCAACACACGTTACCGCAACCACACGCACAATCCAACAGGAGGGAGTTTTCTCCGAGTCCTGTGAGGTTCTGGGGGATTGCCCACTCCCCACAAATATCTCCCCCCCCAACACCCCCAACCCAACCCCAACCCAACCCCAACCCAACCCCAACCCTCCCCCAACCCCCCCCCCACCCACCCCCAACCTTTCGCCTTCCTTCAACCCCCCCCACCCACCGCTTGACACGTGAAGGGCGGCCCGCCTCTGTGGCGAGCAGCGAAGCGCCGGCAGCCGAAGGCGCTGGCCCTGCTGCTGGAGCTGCGCGCCGACGCGGAGTCCAGCCCCTCGGACCGACAAAGAAAGAACCGAACACTGGCCGCTTCGGGGCTGCGGGGCTTTGTTCCTCTTTTTCCTCTTTTCGGCCGAAACGAAAGCCGGAGTTTGTTTTTGTTGTTGTTTTTTGTGTTTGGTAGATGTCCAGAGAAAATGTCAAAGCTTCCTAATCCCCCTTTAGGAAAGAACCCCTTTCTTTTGAAACCATCCCAGGTTTTTCCAGCCGTTCCATTTTGAACATCCAAGATTCAAAAGGCTTCCCTTGGCCGCCCCCGGGAAAAACCACCTCGCACCAAAAGCTCGGCCGCGCCCTGGATGTTTGTTTTTTCCCTTTTCCCCGCAGCATGGGTCGCCGTCATAGGTGTCCTTTTTGATGGTTCGCTAAAAAGATGGATGGCCCTGGTTTAGCTGGTGGTTTAATCATCCACCAGGGAAACCGGGAAACCCATCTATTTCGCTCGCCCCAGGCAGAGGGGGCACCACGGCGCTGTTCTGGTGCGCGCGGCATGGGGACGTCTCTGCCGTGGAGCTTCTGCTCAGCGCCGGGGCCTCGCCGCTCCTCGTGGCCAAGGAGGCGAACGCAGGCCGGCGGCGCGTCACCGGCACGAGCCGAAAAGGAGAAGGGGGGGGGGGATTGATTTACACCGAGCCATGCATAAAACTGGGGTTGATGAAAATATTTGGTTTCAACCTTATGATGGACACTTCTTGGGTGTATTTTGCCACCTGGGTCTTGGGTTTTTTCGGGTTCCAGGCGGCAACGACTGGTGTCCATGGCACCGGGGGCGAGACATTTTTGAACCCCAAAAGCTCCAATCTGGAGGCCTGAGCCACCAGCGTTCGGGTAGATGGGTAGTAAGGGACCATCCCCTTGCCATAAAGAGTCGCGGAACTCCGCCTTTGTATTTCCTGAAGCATGGCTCCGGGTCAACCATTTTAATGCCGGGTTTTGATTGAGACTCACTTTCCATCGTATGTTTGTACCGGATCAAGCTGCTGCTCCTTTTGAGTCCTGATGTTTCCCCAAAAGGTGATTCAATCATCACGCACCTCTTGGGCAACAAAGGGGCATGAATTTCCTTGCGGTTCAAGATCGCCCCCAGAAGATGCAGAAATTGAATTCTGACCACCCCCAGGTCCAATTGCTTAGGGTGGTACAACCCCCTACACAACAAATCTTGCGTGGTAACCTGAGGCAGCAGAATTATTTCCACATTCCCCAAGAAGGAGCACTCGGACAATTCTGGCTTCAAAGCATTACTTCGCCAATCTCCCTTTACACCCCTAGTTGGAGACTTGGTTTTTCCAGCCTTTGTCTAACTCCCATCCCCAGCAAACTTGGCTTTGGGATGTAAATAGGGATATGGGAAAGTAGCCGAAGGTTCAAAGAATGGTTTCAAATAAATGCAAGTCTTTGGAAGCATGGTGATTCCATGTGATTCCCATGTTCCTGGTAAGGCAAACAGCCCTGACCCAAGAGTAATTTTGAGAACCCCTAGAACTGGGTGTCCTTAACAGAATGGACACCCCCGCAAATACAAAACATGAGACTGAAAAGAGCAGAGGGCTTTTGGTTTCCTTTTGGTTTCCCCTGAACACCAAGCAAGGCGAGCTTCAAGTTCTCCAAAAAGAAAGATCAACAAAAACGAGTCGGCCTCATGTTTGCCCCATGGTTCCGGAACCGCCCGGCCAGCGCCTCCAGGCAATGGCCACACTGGCCCCCGGTACCCGGCGGAGTGTGCCCTTTCTGCTGCCCTGCAGGCGCCCATGGAGCGACCGCCGCTCGGGAAGGGCGGGGAAGGGCTGGGACGGGCCGGAAGGGCCGGGAAGGGTGTGAGTTTGTTGTGTTTTTCTTCCTCGGCTTGCTTAGGGTGGTTGATCACCCGTGGTTTCTCCAACCACTGAGAATCTCTTTTCTTTTTCTTTTTTTCCTGGGGGGTTAGTCTTTGGGAAGCGCTGTTTGTTGTATCACGGAAGTGGTCATTTCCCACAGCCCTGAGAAGAAAGCAACAAGGAGACAAGAGGTCGGGGTGTTTTGGGGTTGCCGTTGGAAAAGGAGAATCAAATGGGATACCAAACATTTGTGGGCTGATGAGACCAATGATTTGTTGGGTTCCCGATAGAAAGCAACTCCACCAATTCAGGTTGCAACTTTCTGTGGTTGATTGGTCATAGGGATCCAACCTACAAAGTGATAACACAGCCATGAGAATATCGCATGTTGGCATCACAGAAGGGTTATTTTTCCACAGCCATGGAAGAGCTTTTTGGGGCTGTTCCCCTCCACAAAGTGGGTATGAATTTGAATTTGGGATGTAGAGGCCCTTTGGAGGACATCACTAGCCGCGAACTTGTCAAGCAGCGCATGTTGCTATATTTTAACAGTTACCTAACAGAAGGAGGAAAGCAAAGCCGGCTGAGGTCGAGTGAGCGGCTGAGGGCTATGCAGCTGATGGCGCAGAGTCTCAGCAGTGCCCAGCGCGAGGAGGGGGCGGCCTGCCGGGCTCTGCTCACGGCCTGCGACGCGGGGGCGGCGAGCTACGTGTCAGTGCTGGTGGAGTGCCACATCGGGGCCGTCCCCCAAGGGGCCCAAGGGGCCCAAACCGAGGAGGATATGTTTTCTTCTTGCGCCGAAAAATGAGGTGTCTCTTGCAAGTGGCAAGCGACCACGAGGGTTTACAAGAGGATTAATTGGGGGTTTAAAAGAATGTTGAACAACCAGACACCCAACCCTTCAAAAGGAATATCAGCGCCGGGCTGAGCGTAGTTAGCAAGTGCCAGTCGCAACCATGAACAATAAATAGGTGCCGCGGAGGGCCTTTGACCAGGTTATGACTTTGACTCGGACTTTAATCATTTCTTGCGCAAGCCACCATTTCTGGTCCAATTCCTTTCAAGAGAAGCCAGCCGGATGGGCATACAAGCCTGCAATTCCCATCCGAGCAAACCCATTGCAGATGCTTTCAAGGGAAACCAAAAAGATGTTAGAAAGCAACCAGTCTTCGACTCCGGCGAGTCGACTCGCCGGAAGGAGACCCCGGTGCTTGTTGCCCTGAGCCGCGGCTTCTCGGAGGTGGCAGAGCTGTTGTTGCTCAAGGACCCAAGCGGGGTGTCTGCTTTTTGGGGTGCGATAGGTGCCCTTTTTGAAGTGGCTCCCTTCCCGAGTTCCGTTTCGGACTTAACTTTTTGGGCTTGGGCCATTGTAGCGGCCAAGAAAACGTCTGTTCGTTTTTTTGGGGCCAGTCCACTTCGGAAGTGAGGTTGGGCCCCCTCTCCCACAAATGAACTCCTGCCCATGTCCATATGTCCGCTCTTCTTTTCTTCACTTTCTCTCTCTTTCAGTTGTTTGGGTGGGTTTTGACCACCACCCTCGAGGGCCCGGAGGTTCTCTTCGCGCTTCAGGACCCCAGGGCCGCGGGGTTTGTGAACGCCGCCCTGGCCTCCGGGAAGTCGGCGCTGCACCTGGCGGCGGAGCGGGGGGACAAGGTGCTGCCGCTGCTGCTGAAGGCCGCGGGGCGGACAGCGCGGAAAGCGGGTTTTTAAGCACATGGGGTCCCAAAATGGATCAAAGGAACCGACCCCCTGGTGGGTTTAGTCATGTTGGTGGATGGTGGGGTCCCAAAATGGATCAAAGGAACCGACCCCCTGGTGGGTTTAGTCATGTTGGTGGATGGTGGGGTCCCAAAATGGATCAAAGGGACCCCTCTGGTGGGAAACCGTCAGGTTGGTGGACAGGACGTGCGATGGAGGGAAAGGAGGGAGAGCCGATAAAATGCAAGTTGTACGAGTATTGGAAACACACAACTCACATCTTTTGTTTTCCCTTGTTGGTTTTAAAGGGGACCTGTCACCGCTGAAAGATGGCATTACTCTTCCAGGAAACTTCTGCAAATGGGCGTGGTAGGACATTTTGTTTGGGGTTGCCGCTTCCAGTTCAGAGAGGCTGGCCCATATTGGTGTCACAAGGGTTTGCCAATTGCCAGAAGCATGCTGGAGGCACGGGCGAGTTTGGACGCGGCCACCTCCAGCGGGCGCACGGCGCTACACCTAGCGGTGGAGCACGACCAGGAGCAGGCGCTGCAGGTGCTGTGCGCACATCCAGGCACAAAGGTGCGACACTTGCTGCAACAGACGCCCAATGGAGCTTCACCCATTTGTCTGGCCGAGCGCCGTGGCAAGCCGTCCTTGATCTTGCCCATGCTGCGGTGTTACCACCGACACCTGCGAGAGCGGTATCTGGCCGGCAAGCTGGGGGATGCCGGGGACCGCATCAGCGACCCCTCCCTCACTGCCATGTGCCTCAAGTACCGGGACACGCTCTTCCTGAATGACGGCGAGGCAGCCGCCAAGGTGGTGTCGCAATCGGCCAAGGTGGCTTGCCTGCAGCTGGCCCCAGAGAAGGAGGAGGAGGACAAGCTCCAGAGGTACCAGCGGGTCATGGAGCGGACAAGGAGCGGTGCCGACGGGGGTGTCTCGGGCCGTGGGCGCTTGCGTTCGCAGCTGGACTTGCACCTCCAGCGGGCGCGGTCCTTCAGCCGAGACGAGCCAAAGGGGCGGAAGCCCTGGGGTGCTGCGGTGGTGCGGCAGCGCCCACCCTCTGCCAGCCCGGCTTCTGCAAATCGAGGCCAAGGCACCACCACCTGCCCGCCCTCCTCCCAGCTGCCGCGGGTACCGCGGCCAAAGGCGCAGGCTGCAGGAGCGTTGCACGGGTCGCCGCTGCAGGCTCTGCAGGGTCTGCAGGGTCTGCAGCGGTCGGCGGGGTCGCGGAGGGAGGTGCTGGCCATGGCGGCGGAGGATGAGATGCAGGACCTTCTGCGGGACTTCTTGTCGGAAGGGGAGGAGCCAGAGGCGGCGCTATCGGCGATGGCTGGCAGCGGGCACCTGGAGATGTACTCTTCAGATGAAGAGCCATGACTGGGCCCCAAAGTGGGCGATGCCGCGGAAATCGCGCGGCGAACACAGTTGCGCGGCGGGGCTTGGAGGGTCGCAAGTTTCCGGCGAGTGCCCGTCTCTCTGAGCGCCGAATTGCTGTACCCACGCTCCAAATTGAGATGACATTATTCACTGTTTGAGGCAAGGCCGGTTTCGCTTTTGCTCGTTTCTGGTGTCCTGCAAAGAGCGGCCCATTTGGGCCATTCCGGCGTGTCTTTTTTAATCCCGCAAAACGGATGTCAGCTTTTCTTTTTGGCTTTCCCTGAAGATGCTACTTCGCAAGGGGAACCTTCAAACTAGACGTCAGCCATTTGTAGCTACCGTGGGGTTGGTCACAATTTCCGAGGTGCCTTGCAACTTCCGGCCAGCGCCGTCGCTTGCGAGGCGCGAGCAATGGGGCGAGAGATGGCAAGCGTCACGCATCGATGTTGCGCTTTTGGTGTTGACTTTGACCGTTTTCCTGGGAATTTGCCCGGTTTCTAAGAAGGTTGGACCAGTTTTTAGAGGGGATTGTGCAATGGCCACAGGGCGTTGCTTTTTGCTTCGGATTTTGGGAAGATGGACAATGGTCAATAGTCTTGCGTGATCACCGCCGTGCCCGTCTCAAAGCACAAGGCGTGTACTGCCCCCACTCTTGGTTATTTCAGGTGCTTTACTACCTGGTTTTATTGGGATTGCAATGGAGCCCAGGTAAACCCTCATGCCAACGTTAGTACCTAAAGTCACTGGCTAGCAAGGCCAACAATGGCTTCGTTGCCTCAGGAAATGCGGGACCTTCTGGATGCAACAGGAGACGTCTAAGAAACCTTTGGTGATTTTGCTTGGATGTCAGGACTTTAACTTTTTGCCAACTAATGGGTTTTCCATTAAACCACTAAAAGTTGTTCGCTTCTAGCAGGGGGGCAGAACGCAACCTAGAAACCAGCAATAAATTTGGGCGCCGCCGGGAGGTCGCCGCCGCGGTCCGGCGGCCCGGCGTGTGGGAATAGCCCATGCGCGGCTGGGGGCCACAGTCGGGTGGAAAAGACCGGGATGTGTGAGTCTTTTACGGCACCTTGCATCTTGGTTGGAAGGCAAAGCGAAGGGAAACCGCCCATTGTTTGGGCTTCCCACTTTGACGCGCGCTCGCGGAAACACAAAGACAAACACAAACACAAACACAAACACACACACACACACACACACACACACACACACACACACACACACACACACACACACACACACACACACACACACACACACACACACACACACACACACACACACACACACACACCCACACCACACACACACTACACACACTACACACACTACACACACTACACTACACTACACTACACTACACTACACTACACTACACTACACTACACTACACTACACTACACTACACTACACTACACTACACTACACTACACTACACTACACTACACTACACTAAACTACACTACACTACACTACACTACACTACACTACACTACACTACACTACACACACACACACAC